CCCCCCCCCCCATCTCCTCCTCCCATCCCAATTTTTATACGGCAACTTGAATTTCAATCCCGAAGAGAAAAACAAAATGCCGTTGTTCGGAAGTTGAAGATGAATTGTATTTGTTGAGAAATCAGATCTACTCATAAAAGTACATTGAAGTGGTTTCAGATTTCAATTTGTGAATTTCATGTGTTATCTTGCATTTCCGTGTAAATACGCAGAAAGATGGCTGGTGAATGGAAGCAAATGATGAACCTGAAATGTCTAGATTAACAAAGAAATGTATATGACACAGACTCTCAGTTATGATCTTGAAAAATAAATCATGTTGTGGGACAGCGGGACAGAGGAATCAATGAGGATTTTAGAAAGTAAGGGAGAGAGTTGAGGAGGGTGGAGTAAAGATGGGAGGGAGGATCGGAGGTTGGGTGAGAGAGAGAGAGAGAGAGAGAGAGAGAGAGAGAGAGAAGGGGAGAGGGAGAGACATATATATATACATTCAGGCAGGCATTTTTAGTGGGTGATCCCTCACTAAATTTGCCAATGATTGAGCTGTACATGTTCTAGCAAGAAAAAAAAAAATTAAATTAGCATTCAGAGATTTCATTTTGTCTTGCAGAAATTAAAACAAAACTATAAAAATGAATCATAATTTGATTGCGATTTGACGACAATTCTAATTTAAAAAATATTTTTAAAATATCACAATTTTCAATTGGGGGCTCATACCCTCTTAAACAACGCCCCTGAGTGGAGGGAGAAAGACAGAGGGAGAGAAAGAATATACTATAGACAGAAGAAGAAAAAGAAAGAAAGAGAATTTGACCTGCTGCCATGGGAGTTATTTAGCGAAAAGAGACTAGGGGGGGGGGGGGGGACAAAGCCCTAACGTAATTTATTGTATCACACTTATATGTTTATGGAACTAAAATAGTTTGATCAATTTGACCTGGCACGTCATCTTAAAGAGCAAAGGGAAAAGTAACTAAGAAGGGTGTTTACTATACTGCACAAGAATATCCTTAATCTGATACTCTCATTGATTATTTTCACTTCGCTTCAATGTTTTATTTAAAATATCAGGTTTTTAAAGAAACCTGATAATTTTCTGGCATGCGTGCAAAGCTTCATGGCAATCAAAATGTTTTGCTGTTAATACTTTTGATTTGATCGTTTTGTTTTTGCCTGTAATTGAATTGCAGTATTGCAAGCCATGATGCTATTTTTTAATATTTTAATCAATGTATATATCATCAACACTATACTTTGAGAATTAATGCTCAAATACTAACGAGGTTAATTGTAACAACATTGAGTTGGTAAGAATAGATATCGAACCATTCGATTTTGATATAACATGTAAACATGTTACTTTTGTTTATATTTTGCATGAACATTATAAACATGATAACGTATTTGTTGACTATTATACCTTATTTGTTTTATGTCAAATATTATTTCGACCCTTTTAGTCCAACTCTTTCCACACTTCCTCCCCCCTCCCCTCCCCCTCACTCTCTCTCTCTCTCTCTCTCTCTCTCTCTCTCTCTCTCTCTCTCTCTCAAAACTTTGTATTTTTAATCACTTGAAAACAAATACGAATACATACAACTGCGTTCATTAGGGTCCTCACTATTAAAAAATAAATAAATAAAGACAACATAGACAACAAAAAAGAAAAGGAAAAACTCAAGAAAAAGGAAAAACAAAAAACGAGCAAAAGAGTAGATTAAAATGCAAAGATTTTGTGTGTCTTTAAATACATCTTCGTTTATGTTCACTGCATGAAACACCTGTGTTTTTTAGGTTTGATATTGAATACTCCCACACTGTTTTTAACCCGTGACTTTGAGCTAACAAAACCCCCAGAAAGCGTGTCACATTCGTGAAGAAGATATACAGACAAGATAATGATATCACGCTGCGATGTATTACAGAATATGACTCAAGTGCGGCCTCCTATGGATACAAAGTCTTGAGGTCGGTAAGGGAAAATTAATGTCATACTGTGTGATATTATAGGGCAAACTTTGAGAAGCTAACAAATAGGTTCACACTCACCGTACCTGGCCCTACGTGGTTGACCCTTTAATATGTTGCTTATTCACTCTCTGTTGGTCTTATTTTGGGGCCCTAATATTTAGCAATGAGTTGGGGGCATTAAAAAAAAAAAAATCGTGGTTTTTATCAGCATGATTTTTTTTCTTTCACCTAATTAAAGTTAACATTTGTTCTACTTATACAAATGGGTAAAACGTGATTATTTCCTCACTAATCGACTAACAGAAATTGTGAATTTCTCTAATAAACGCATGTCACTACTTCTTACAACAAATTGGTCACAATATTTCCCAATAATGTATATCTTTCTAGTTGTTCTGAAATGTCCATGGAACATTTCCATACCCAACTCAGTAACATTATATGCTAATCTGTCAGTTTAAGCTTTATTCTATACGGTACAATATTTTTTAATTGAAAACTGATTATGAATTAATTCGTATGTCATGGAGCCCAATAACGACAAGTGATTAGGTGTGCTAATAATGAGCTCCAGAAGATCAACCACTTCTGATCTTATTCTCAAAGTCAAGCATCCAATTTCGGTCAATGATCGCGCTGGAAACAGTTTAAGGTTTCACAGAAGCCTCACACCCTGTTGGTGTTCCTTTTTAATTAATCTAATAGATACTATGTGTCCTTAACTGTCACTTGATACACAACGGTGCCAATTCGAACTTGAAAGTCCCAGGGTATTAATTTACATTATATTTGCAACGTTACTCATATTATATTTGTTAACTCATGCTGACTAGAATTTATTCGTTAGAAATATGAACATGTGCCAACCATCTTGACCATGATGGGATTTTAAGGGCCGGTTAACACTTCTGTCATTAGGCCTAACACTTCACTGGAATCAATGAGAACCGTTTCCGTAATCCATCATAGTATTTTACACAAATATATATTTTGATCGGTTTGGTTAGTTTGTTTCACCTGACCGCTAATAAAACATGTGCTCGTAAGTATATAAGCAACCATTGGACGGACGGCTTTAAGTCTTCTCCGAGTGAAATCACATATTAAGCACAAAAAGCCCTTTGTACCCATTGGAAAGGACGCCACTACATTAAATAAAAATGTCTGAGGTATATTTTACATATTGATTGCTAAATCATTACGTAAAATAAAAACTTTTTTTTTTTTTAAATCTCGCCTAAATTTCTTCATAATACTGTGGATAAGCCAATAACAAATATCGGCCATGTCAGTCACTTTCTTCCGACAAAGTGGGATTTGCTGAGTTACTGCACGTTTGGAGCTTGTGATGGCTCAAGGTTTGTTGATTACGTTGTTGTGTTGTCAATCTCACTTATCATCATTCTCGCGCGCTTTGTCACAATTCTTTGCTCCTCATCGTCACCATAAGCTCAACAGTCTGCCTAGAACATATTGACCTTTATTCTGCTTCAAAAGTGAAATTAATGGATTGCTCTAGCTCAGCGAGTACAAAATATTCACCAAAAGGTCATCTTAGTCGTTGGAGAGATATCTTAAAGAATAAAGAAATTACTCGGAAGTTGAGACGATGATGAAAATGTGACCTGAGATGTTAATATTAACACTTTGCAACTCGATATGAGACAAAGGTGGATTTAGGTAGTGACGGCCCCAGGGCACACGGGGGGGGGGGGGGGGCGCCCCCCCCCCCAAAAAAAAAAGAGGGAAAGGCAGAAGATAGAAAGAGAGAAAAAGAGAAGCATGGGCTGATGAGGTTTTCTTACCCTTCTTCTCTCTTTTTCTTCTTTACACTATCTCTTGTCAAAGAAATTTCGGACTTGTCAACCTTGCCAAAGAATCATGGATCCGCGACTGCCGGGATTGTCTAAAGGGGGGGGGGGGGGGGCTGAAAACCGCGTCACATAACGATTTGTGGCTAGGGCGGGCAATTTTTTTCCTTAAGTGTATCCGACTATTGATAGCAAAATATAAAAGGGAAAATTGAACAAGAACAAGAACAATTTATTACGATAGAAGAAAAGAAGTATACATGAATGAAAGAATTTTGACATTTTCTTTTTAATGAATCTTCTGATTACGTGAATTTTTGTTTATTTTTCATTCTGAAAATTGGTGTTTGGTATGAAACTGATGAAAATGGAACACATTCTATGCATCAGCATCATTGGCAGCATTTAAGAAGTATATTAACAATGTGTATGATGGTGCAGTTTATTGATGTAGCAGTTTATTGATGTAGCCTGAGGTGTCGTGGTCGAGTGGACACGTCGCTGGACTGTGAAATGCATGGTAAAATGAAAAAGAAAAGAGTTTAACCTACTTTTGACACTCTCCACCCAAGGGTAGTAAATGGGTATCTGAATGCTTGAGAATGCTAGAGCGCCTTATTATAGTAGCTTGGTGATTGCAGGACCCTCAGGGAGAATAGTATTAATACTGATGAGGCGACCCTGGGTAAACAAGAAATATTATCATCACGTTTATAATTAATGGAGAAAATGTTGTGTACAACAACATCACATCAAGAAGAGACCTATGTAAAGGATATTTCGCTGCAAGCAAATAAAGAATCCTATCATAGCAAAGGAATGTAATATAGAACGATTTCGCCCTAGATAAAGAAATATTAGCTTCTGTAATGGTAGAACGGGGATTCTATTACCAAACCCATTACTCGCTAAGAACAAACCAACTTAAATTTACCCCCCATGATCGAGGTAAAATCGGGCAGCTGTGTTTACGACTCGGTATGAAGTTAATTTTTCATGATTCTCATAGACGGTTACCAAAACAACGACCCCATGAGCGTTTTCCTATAAAACCATTGTGAACTACGGTCTTAAAATTCGTTTGCGCGCGCTGCGCTTTAGCCCCATCACCTCAATGCGGCCTCTCAACATGTTCCGGAGTTTTAAAAAAGTTCTTACCCTCTTTCCCAAACTTCGCTCACTCTCTGGTGACTTCTCAGCGCGCTTACCGTCTGCTTCAACACGCAATAAAGACAGGACGAATATTCAGGGTTGTTCGAATACAAGTTTGATCATTGTAAATCGTGACTCAACGCATGACGCTCTCCTGATCGCACAAGTTTTGCCAATTAATTCACTTTTTAAGGATATCGGTCAGCTCTGATCGGAATTGGGCCAATTTGAAATTATTTCTGTGTTTCTGGTCTTGATGACATAAGATGTAGACTGCACACAAATTTGGACGTCTTGCATGATAGGAGGATTCTAGAAAGCCGGCTTATTTTGTAGCCCATACATTTGTGTTGCTGTTGACAATTTTTGTCTTCTTCTTCTACAAGTCAATCCCTCTCAGTGCATCGATTTTATCATGGTATTATATTTATATTAGCATTCAAATATGAAGAAGCTGCTCTGCGTACTTTCAAAACTGGAAATATTTTAAGCGAAAATAATTTGACAGATTTTGTTATTATTTATGATCATTAATCGAGGAGAAATTGTGATATTGATACTGCCGTCTGCTTAGTTCAAGGCGACTGGGTTGTCCTATACTATTTGGCGTAACAGAAGACTAGAGGACGTCTTTCCAGTAAAGCTACTGTAGCACAGCCATCTACGCTTCATACTTTCTTTTGGTAGGCCTGTGGGCTTTTCGTGACTGAATTTTAAACTTAAAAATTATGAAGGATTTAAGGACAGCACAAGTCTGCTTATTGCAGACAATATTTCTTGGACTCGTTTTGGCGGGAACTGCCCATTCACAAACCATTCCTGGGCTTGGAAGCTGGGGTAGGAGTCAGATCAATCTAGTCAATAATGGATATTCAGGGATCCTAGCAGCCATAGACCCAACCATACCGCCAAATGATGCACTTATTCAAACATTCAAGGTAAGATAACCAAAGGAGTTGTATTTCTTTTCTTTTTTACAACAACGACTTAATTTGTACCTATTCTTCTTTTAATAGACAAGTAAATAAAAGTTCATCATATTTGAGGTGTTCTTATGATTCCAAAGTTCTATACAACATTCAGTGGAACTTTTTGTGTACTTTATAATGACACGATCGTAAAGACTTTCAACAAATCAACTTGGGGAAAGTTTAATACGCTCTTGTGTATATAGAAATCATATTCTGATCATGTGGTGTGTTATTCTCAAGTTCGCACTAGAACACGTGTCGTGCAAGGCTATCGAAATAGGTAAATTACTTTTTGAAAGTCATTGCAATCGTGACGTAATGTGTGTGGCTTAGGGTATACCATGTTGCGTTACGATGGGAGGAGGGCATTTGACGCCCGCATCACGCAGCCCCATGCAGCCCCTATGCCCACACAGTACGAACTAGTAAGAGTTCCAGATGAATATGATAATCAGCATGATATGAGTTTATAATGAATATTCATAACGGGCAGAGGGAAATGGGGGGGGGGGGGGCAGTTTCGATTCACGAAATATCTAGGAGCCTAATTTTGTATTAATATGCAGTGTATGTTTCCTATCAATATGCCCCCCCCCCCAATTGTTTTGAACCCCTCCCAATTTTTCATAAACTTTAAATTTTCCGACAAGCCTAAAAATGACATGTAAATTACCAACAACATTTAGGATTCGCCAGCAGAAATGAGATGGGTACTACTAGGTCTATCCTGTCTGTGCTTGACAACAAATATTCTGCATTGTGCCCTCCCCCTCCCCTTTAAAGAATCGTGGATAAGCTCACCCCTGCCTCCCGTTACATAAAGTTGCCGAATGTCGAATATTTCTTGTTAGGCATTATACATTAGTCAAAAATTGACGAGGGGGGGGGGGGGGGGGGGGGGTTAAATCAGTAAGCCAGATTTGCGACCTTTCGGAACTCCCCTAAGTTAAATTGGAATGACAATAGCATTGGGTCCCCCATTTTAGCCCTACATTATAATTTTGTAATTCTGTTGTGACTCAACTACAGACACCGTTTTGCTTCGTGATTAATACTTTGTGCTTCTTTTGTTTTACTGAATTGCAAGAGGATAAGGATCATCCCATTGTTCTTGTAGGCATTAGTCATGCAGAGGGCACGGAGGGGGAATACCTGATACCTGATAGAATAAACAGAGGCATGAAGAGAAGAGAGAGTGAGAGAGAGAGAGAGAGAGAGGGGTACAGAGAGAGATAGGCAGAGAGTGACACAGAGAGAGAGAGAGAGAGAGAGAGAGAGAGAGAGAGAGAGAGAGAGAGAGAGAGAGAGAGAGAGGGGGCTAAGGAATAAGAGATACGTAAAAGACATAATAAATATTATGTGTGTGAAAGTAATAATACAAACTGAAATGGGATTGAATGTATGAGAAGGCCTTTGAACAAAGTGAATAAATAAAACCGGACAACGAAATTAAACAATACGAAATAAGATAAAGTGAAAATAAAAAATCAAAAAAATCGACAATTAGAACAAAATAGAATTGAGATACGACTACTCAAACCAAGTAGAAAGACATGGTATATACTGACGGTTATTGAAGTTAAAATAGAAGAGAGGGGAAAAAGAAAAGACTATAAATAAGATAGACAAACTCAAACCATACCATCACCATGACGACCTTTTAAGGACAAGAAATGGCTTTGAAAACTTGCCAAGTTAGAATGCTAAAAGCTGACTATAACTGTCCTCTTGTGTTAATCACCTTTTTCAAAACTTGTATTCTTTCCAATAAAGCTCATAATCGTCAGATTAAAGCTGCTCCTATATAGATGTTCTGTTAAAATCAGCGATTCATAATTAGCATTATGCACATCTAAAGCAAAACGTCCGGACTTGTCCAATCCCTTCAACATGTTGTAGGTTGAGATATTTAAAAATAGAGCCGAAAGAAAGATTGGCCCCTGTCAGAATTAAAAAAACGTTTTACAGAGTGTGCATGTAGTACCTGCATGTGATTGAATGGAATCTAAACTAAGAGAAACAATTAAGTACAATTTAGTGAAAATATACTTATGATTGAGAAAAAGTAAACAATAGAAGAGAGTTATATATTTCTGAAGGTCGTTAGAAATGCAAATATCCTGCACTATCAAATTTGTTATGGAATCTTAGAAAAGCAACTCGGTATTGTATCTCATCTGTGGACTGTATTCTATGATTTCAAATTGCAATTTGATGAAAACTTTTGTTCCTGCGTCTAGTTCATTTTGCAATTCAGAAATTTCTAAAAGGAGATGTTCTTTTAAGACATACTGTAGGCGACAAAGATAGGCGGTACAATAATGGAAGTCTTTTTTTCTTTCTTCCTGGGCTTATAATGGGGATGGTAACTTGTGGTTTCTCCATCATAACCATGAGCTGGATATGCAAGAGTGTGTTTAGGGGTTATACCATTTTGAAATGCCTATTTCATTCAATATAATGCTTCCATCTTTATCATATGGTATGTGTTTACAAGTTGTCTCCATCTTTTTCTTCTGTGCCTGAAAATGGGGGCGGATAGGGCCTTACGCTGGTTCCTGGATACGCCATAGATCATCCTCTTTACATATCCAACCCCTTCCTTTATGCATGCGTATATCAGGTGTAATTCGCTATATGAATACGAGATGGATTAAGAAGTAGAACAGGTAATCACCCTAGCTTTCACCACACGGGTAATTGGTTCGAACTTCGAAGACGCGGGAGAGGGGGGGGGGGGGGGGGGGGGGCTCTCATTGGGACTTCATGAACTAATTTTGTAATATCCGGCTCCGCGTCACTTCAGATCAAGTCTGACTATATAAGAAAGACGATTGAAAGGTTAGATCATTTAAGAAGAGAAGACGGAGCTAGAAATTAATAGACCTGTCAGTAACAGAACATAAAAAAGTAAGAAGTCGGACATGAATGATATAACACAGTAAATTTGGCCATGGCTTGTGTGAACAAAATGCCGAGGCCTATCAATAAAAGAAACAATGCCGTTAAAGAGATGACAAATACTGGTACTTAATATATAAAGGATGTAACCTAAGAGTGGAGTCGATACATGAGGTTATATATAATCATCAAATAGAATACAAACCAATAAAACTTGTTTGTGACGATTTCATGACTAATTTAATGGTTGATAAATTGATTAAGAGAGAAAAAGAGAGAGAGAGAGAGAGAGAGAGACATACAGACAGACAGACAGACTCAATACAACATTTTTTAAATCCGTTGACAACGTAATAGTTTCACAACTTTTCGCCCATAGGGTTTATATAGGTAATCAAACGGTTATTAAAAGAAAAAAGACCTATTATAATCGTATAATCGGCTATACGCAAATCATGAGTCATGATGGTCTATAAATACCTATCAAAACTAATCATCTTGAATTTGAAATAGAGTCATCAATTATTATTCCGCACTTATCCCACTTTTGATATGCTTAGTCGTATATAAATCGTGTTCTAAGTCAATTATTGCAACTGATAAAATTTAGTCTAGGTGTGCACTATAGGTGAGTTAGTAATCACTGTCTTTTAATTGAAATTTAATAATCACAGAGACTTTCCGTATAACTATGCTTATTCAAAATTTGATTTATTTATATGTCGACAGATGTCAACATTTCCCCAAATAAGCCCTCATCCCCTATAAGGGGGATTTTTTCATTTGCCAAAAACCAAAATCGAATGTGCCAACAAAATTATTGTAATGGATGAGGGTTGTCACACGCCCACATCTCCTTCTCCTAGTCTCGACCATATACGTTGATATTATTTTATTTTGTGGTACTTCTACATAATTAAGCTGTATTATAATTGTCAGCTTTGTATATTTGTGTTCATAGTCTTTCACATTATCTTCACTTCTCTTGGCTCGGTTTATCAGTATATCAATTATTCATATCATTTACTTTTCATTGTCTTGTATTCAAATCTCCGTCTTGTTTCTTTCTAGAATATATTTACCAGTGGTTCATCGTTTCTCTTCAATGCAACGAACGGACGAGCTTTCTTTCGAGATGTTGCCATCCTCATCCCAAAGAACTGGCCTCAACTACCCACCCACAAATTCGCCCCACACACAGCACAGCTCGGTACAGCCAATCTCTTGGTTAGGTAGGTGTCATTTATTTATGTATTGAATGAAATCTTAAAAGAGCATTAACGCATGATTCTTTTCATCAACATTCAAGAAAACTACATTTTAATCTGCAGCGATTTATAGTGTAAGGATTTATGTGTATTTTTATCAGTTCCCTCTTTCGGAAGTCTGTCTGAAACTTCTTAAAATGCCAATTTTGTCACCTTTGTTAGAATCCAGATTGTTATCTTGCAAGTTTGTCTATTTTAGGATAGAAATATAAGGATGTTGTAATAATCTCTGGCAAATCTCAGATCAAGGCGATAATTCGGGGGAAAAGCCACTCATCTGATAAAAAAATGGTATTGTGCTATTGTTTGATGCATGTTCGAGGATACTTTAAAGGCACAACCAAACATCATCTATTCTTTATTATACTTCCTTGTGTGTTATAAATGTCAAAATATCCACCCTAACTGTGTCAAGAGTAAAGATAACCAATAAATACAAACACCGGGTAACATATCTTCTTGTTACTTTTTTTGTAGGCCATGTTACATCCTTTACAAATTAGTCGAAAACAAACTAATAAAAAGAGGCTGATTTCTCAGCTGAAACACCAAACAAATATCTTTATTTATTCATTAAAACAAGATTTGATATGTACAATTCAACCATCATATATTTTATACAAGATGTTAGAAGCTTTAAACAATATATTTGGGTGATCTGAGAAGAATCAAACAAATGTGTTTATGTATTTTCCCTGAGTCTAGACTCTAGGGTGTGATTAATCGTTGTATAACCACCGAGATATTATGTTTATAACTTACTCATTCTTTAGCACGAATTCCCATTTTTAGAACCATTAGACTAGTCTCGATTTACTTTATGTAATACACAATCTGATCTGTTGGAGGATAGTCGTCTTTCACCTCCGATTATTACGATGAATTAACTTAATCCAAGATAATTTGGATATTTCCGTTTGCTGTGGTTGGTAAATCGGTCAATGAAAGACATATGCGTAAATAGTTGTAATAAGATAGATTAATCGTGCTTTAATCGACGTTCAAGCGTCTGCGCAAATGTTGGGTATACTATTTAATTCATCATTGATGAAACATTAAAACCATCTTTAAATTCAGATGCAAACTGTCAGGTGTCAGTACTAACGTATGATGTTTGCTTCTTCTTCGCTTTGTTCCTCCCGGCGACAAAGACGAAATCAATCTTTATAAAGTGAACATTATTTGTTGAAAGATGTACTAAAACAATCTTGAAATTTGAAATTGAAGAAGATAAGTATATTTAGAAATGATTATCAGAGGGAGAATAAGCATGTTTATATTTGTGATGGTGATAGATCGATATGAACGTTTGGTACTTTCATTTCATTTTAATTATTACATTACTCCATCATAAAAAGTAAAGATATTCAATTTATGATTATTTGTAACTTTAGTTAACTTATCACAGTCTGTGTAAAAATATTTTCATCAAGGCATTTAATTGTTACTTTAGTAAGCGCATGGAGATAGCAACATACAATGTGCTAGCATTATTATCTTTATCATTAAAAAGATAATAGAAACATAAAATAAGTAATGATTCGTGTTTGTGATAGTTACTTTCTTTTTCAAGAAACTGTAGCACACTCCTAATTATGAGACACCTGATTTGTGACTCACCTCGCTATTCAGGTCAAAGAAGGGTAATGAAGATGGATTTAACAGGTAGAATTTTCTTTCAAGAATGGGAAGTCGTTTTGTCCTTATTAATCCAACACTTAGACCATTAATTGATGATTAATAGGCCTAAACGCAAAATAGTTAGAAGTATTAGCTTCAAGAGGGGCGTGGTAGAAATAAAATCAGATACAGGTATGATTCAGTCTAAAACAACGTACTATAGTAATCCATGCATTTGAAATTCAAGGGAAATACAAATAAAGAATTGATATGTTTCATATGAATGTGTAAAAGAAGCTTTTTCTAAGCACCAAATCATAATCGTATTTGTTATGTTTGATACAGACTTATAGGACATAAAAAAGTGAGCGACCTTGATTTATAATAGATCAATATATCAATCGGCGAAAATGCATGATCCTTCGGAATCTTCTTGGAATCGTCATATTTCATATTTATGTCTATAAATTATGTACAGTTTGAAAGCTCCCTAGAGAGACGATGCATGCACTCTGTACGTGTATGAACCCGATAACTAGGGTAAAACGCTGAGAAAGGTTGTTTGGTATTTAAAGCAAAGTTTTTAGCAAACATCATTAAATGGATAATTTCATAATATGTTTATAAATAAAGTAAATAATGAATAAATACATTATTTAAAAAATAAAAAATAATAAATAAATGAATGAATAAATAAATATACATTTGAAGAAGGAAAAAGAAATGATACAAAATGAATCAAGCCATTTCTGGTCTCATTGATTTGAGATTCACAGCCGCCCTGTTCATCAATTTATGCCAATTATTGAAACTCACCTTGTAACGGAAGTTAAAAACTTCCGTCTTTGGATTTCTCATCATCAGATCAATCCATAAATCAACAAATTAACTTACTTAAAAAAAACTTGTTCGTTATTTTGATTTTATTGTCTTTTTGGTGTGATTTATTAAATACAGACCAACGGGGAGTAACCCGGATATACCTCCTCAGCCGTTCGTCCGTCAGCCTGGCCGGTGCGGCAATCCTGGAGAGTATATGCATCTCACAACCGATTTCTTTACGTCTGAAGACGCAACCCAGTGGGGAGATCCCGGTAAGTGAGTCATCCAGTGGCTTATCCATACCTTGGCCTTATGAGGGGCAGAATACTCCAACTTGTTGTGATCCATATACTTTTAGTAAGGGAGCCTTGGTGTGTTTTGCGTTATGGGGGGGGGGGGGCATCGCCCAAAATTATTTATTTGCGGAAGGCCTTTTGAAAACCTATTATGTCTACACTTCGTGCCATTTTTTGAAGAGATTCAGCAGGCCTCATATTGTTCATGATGATGAAGAAACCGCGAAACCACAACATCTCATTGAATATAATTTTCTGCCAATCAAAGAGAGTCCATTTCATGGCATTGTTCCTCCCACCCTGTTCACCTGTTCTTTATAACCATGATAAGGGTTATCAAGGGAGATGAGAGTTGGTCTAGCGGCACGTTCACTTGGTGTGCCCTATTTATTCGCCTACAAACTGACTCGGTTCGAAACTGAGTCACGTCTTTCGGATGGTGACGGGTAAGGTCTGTCCCAATATACGTTAACCATCATATCTGATTGATACACGTCTGTAAAAATGTTTTTGAACAAATAAACAAACACACACACATACGCACACTCAACCCACTCCCTCCCCATTTATGAATCTAAACTTATCTGAAACATGTTTATGCATGGACTATCACTCAATCCATCCCCTTTATCACTAAAGAAAAGGAAATGAACTCAAAGTTGCCTCCCCAAAATAGGTACGCAAGGCATAGCTCGTTCCCTACCTTTCCTCCTTCTTTATCAAAATGTTAACACCTGTGGGGCCAAACTCAGCGGAAACAGATACACAGGGCATTCCACTCTTTCCTCTTTTTTTGTTACCACGGTAACGGCAACGAACTCAAACCTACCGGAAACAGGTACATAGGGCCTGTTTCTCTCAAAGTAGAAGAAGACAGGTGAGGAAAGCCAGTGACGAATTGGATTATAATATATTTTGAGTGACTGTTGTGCATATCGTGACGTCATCATTGGTATGACCTATTAAATAGCATGTAGGTATATAGACCGTTACTCATCATAGAGATTCAAAGTAGCACTATGTTTAAAAAAAACAGTGTATGTGTGCTTTAAACTGTTCGTTTAAGGTTTGCAGCTTCTCATACACGATCTACCCGCGAAAACGTTAATTAAAAGGAATGAAACATTTTCCCTTTAATTTCCACCTGGCTCTCATGTAAAAGATTAAACTTCTGGTTTAATAGAAAGGTCGTCTAATCGAGCTAAATATGGACAAAGAAGATCAAATACATCATGTTCATGAAAAGCATGTACTCTCAAATTAGGGGTATAGAGAGAGGGTTATAGAGATCTACCTTCCAGGCTTCCACACCGTACATAAATAAACATAATGACGTAGAATTTGAAATAGGAAATGGCATATTTGTTATGACAAAGACATAAAAAGTTAGTTATTTTTCAAAATTCTTTGAATATACCCTTCATCACCATCGTTCCTAAACAAAATCACACGCCACAGTGGCGGTCCCGGTTGTGCGTCAGTGTTTCCCCAAACTTTCCGGGATTGCTAGAACTTTTAAGTAAGCTAGACCACACTTCGAAGATGATGACATTGTAGATATCTTAGTTGAAAAGTAATAATGCTCTCCTCAATCCCCAACTTGGTTATCTTTCTTTTTTAAGTAATGGGAACGGATGCTGCTTAGTTCGCACAGATACGTTTTACCCAAGAAGGTGAGGGCTGTCGAATTTTCAATGAAAAACTTTTCTTTTTCTCTCCCCTGCCCCTCCTAAAAGAATATCTGCTTACACAATGATGTGAACCAGCATTGATTTTGTTTTTGCAAAGACTATATGTTATCATGAAAGATATCCATAAACCCTGGTGCATATCACCAGTTCCATCATCACGAAAATTTATCTAATAATTTGTCACACCGATACGGATGAATTATTGATATGAAGCGATGAATATAAATTCATGAGTCAATGTTTCCTTATGAATATAGGTAGCCTAATATTCGTAAGACGGAAAATTATATATTTAAGTATTAAACCTTAGCTTGCAGCTATAAAAGAAAAGGGCGTAGAAAATAGAAAATATCACAAAGATGACAAAATAACCTCTAATATGAGATAGAAATCAAACTAAATAGAGTAAATAACAGAAAGTGCAACGAATATAATTATCATATGCATTTTGATTGTACGGGGAAACTGCCTAATATTAGAGTAGTTATAGTATCATTGTTCATAACGATCAATGAACGTAGTCACCCTATGAGTCTAATGTCTTATGACGTAAACATGATGTCGGCGAAAAGTAGAGTCAAGTTTCATAGTTGCCATGACGACACGACCGTGTGGTCATGAACTTTCTTTTACTGATGTGCTATGATCGGGGGGCAAAGTGTCATCGGTAAATGTTCTGCTGAGAGAGTGATGTCTGCTGTTTCTGTGACGTATAGTGTTTGTCATGATATTTCAAAGAAATCTAGCTTTAGTTATTCCCTTTTCTACCCCGGCATTATACATGAGGATCATGAATGCCGTCGTCTAATATTGTCTTTTTGTTGGGTTTTCATACCCCAAAGTTGACATGAATAATAACAAAAACAGAGCATGATTATGTTTTAAAGCTTGAATTTCTTTTACTTCAAAGAAATAAGATTTAGTGAGAAAAAAAATCACTAAGGGTTCGATGTAAAGATGAATCTCGTTGTTGCAATTGATGTCTTGACTTATATACTTAGTCCTAATAACGTATTCATCACTTTAATGGACCGGTTATTTTCAAACGATATCTATACATTAACAATATGTCAGTTACTATCCTGTTTACCTGTTATATTTATGCTCGTTAAACACGAGCCCGGGGTCGTTTTTGTTGTCTGCGTCGGTAACTTCAGCGGTTTGTGCCGAAGTGTAATAAATGATCTGACTATAACATGCATAATGATGAAATATTTCTTCTTTGATTTGTCCTCATTTGTAACCTTTCCTGTCTCCAGCGAAAGTGATTGTTCACGAGTGGGGTCATCTCAGATGGGGACTCTTTGACGAGTATCCCTCTCTTCCCACCGACCCTAACTTCTACATCAACAGCCTCGGCCGACTGCAAGGCAACAAGTGTTCAGAGTCCATCGTCGGAGTAGCCGTGCCTCCAACATCTTCCGATTCTGCTACGCGTGGCGACCTGCAGAGGCGTGGACAATCATGGATCTCATGCCAAGTACCTGAAGGGGAACTCCCGCCTCACCAGTGCCGCTTCCGGCCCAGCAACATTGAAAGACAGACTGCTACCGGGTCGATTATGTACAGCACCCACATCCCATCTGTAAGTACATGTATATTCACCCTTTTTCCATAACTGTCATCATAGTCACGAGTATAATATCTTGTCCTATGTTTAAATAAGATTGATGATGATTTTATTCAGATAATATGATCAAGGAGTTATGAACTTCTTTCATGAAAATGGCATATTACGCCATCTTTCCAATTGAAATCCAAAAGCCAGGTAGAGATAGGATACACAATTTCTCAAGATGCTGTTCATTTTATACAGATTTCGTTGTATCTATTTCTAGTTCTCACCAGAACACACAATCTCATTCGTTCGTAATTCTTGATGAACACATTTATTTCCTTCAAATGTGAAAAAGCATGTAATCCATTGCTGAAATTAGAAACTACATGTAGACATGAAGGATATGACCTCCGAAGGCATATATGACATTGGAGGCACACATGCACTGATCCCTTGAAGAAATCTCTCTGGTAGAGATCGGTACATGGAGGGATCAAGACATTATTTTTAGACCGTCTCCAAAAAGTGCAGTCGACGACCCTTTATACGTTCAGCAGGTATTCAATCACACCTGACATTCGAGAAGATCGTGATCATGACGGAAATCCTCTGCTGATACCTGAAGGTCAAGATTCATAAAATATGTAGGGCTTGGAACTCTGAAAGGATGAAGTTACCAGAGGCTGAGGAGCAAACAATGTTCGCCTTGGGGTGACGTTATGTTCATGCTGCCAACGCGCCGGGTTTTGCATAACTACCAAAGGAGAATATGGCGAATAAGAAGCAAACGAGTGAGGACTCTGTATGAACGTTGGCAATGGCATATAGCTGCCATCAATAACACATGACAAAGTTCACGGCACATTAAGTACTTGATGCCGCCGGTGAAAATATTTTCTCGGCTTTAGGTAGATTTGGTCCCGTTACCGCCCATCGGTTCATATTATCGTCTCTCATGATATGCCCTGCGAAAATACAAACATTTATCCTAAATGGAGTCTTATTTCCGAAGTGATGTCGATAACATGCATGTCTCAGGTACACGTAGCTTGTTTAATATTTTGTATGTTTTTAAGACACATCGCACACAAAACGCAGTATCATTGAAAATATGTAAATATCTCCGAGTGAAGTATGTAGGAAAACTGATGTCGTTCGGTATTGGAAGCCTATAGATCTGTGAAAAGGACCAGTCGGCTGCAAGTCGGGGACAGTCCTGGGATCGTTCTAATGTCCGATTACGATTTGTAGCCAAGCTGTTCTTTTCTCTGACTGGGAGGCTTCCAATACCTGTAATTTAGATTCTATCATTCATTATAATCATTCGAAAGCAAAGACTTTCACAAACTAAAATTATTATTACTACTATTTCTTCAAAATTAGATGGTAGTCAGATCGTCAGTAGGTGTGCTATACACAAATCTAACTCTTCTCACTTTCCTTGAAACAGATCAGGAGCTTTTGTCACAGTGATCCGAACGGTGACCCATCATCCCTCCACTCCTCCGAGGCTCCGACGGAACAGAACAGACAATGCGAAGGTCGAAGTGCGTGGGACATCATGCTGAAGTCACCTGATTTCCTAGGTGGCGCCAACCCTCCGTCCGCCGACATCGTCGACACGACGCCGACATTCACGCTGATTCGTCAGAAGCTGAGGACGGTCATCGTCATTGACCAATCGGCAACCATGGGTGTAAGTCGTAGCCTATTCTTCTTCTTGGTCAATGTCGTCTGCACACGAGACGCTAATTCCCTTGCGTCAGTTATTGACATATTATGACCGATGGCAGTTTGTGGCGGCTTCAGGCGCGTACGCAAATTATGCACAGTAGAGATTCATCAGACGCAGTATCTTTGCGCAGACATGATGGCCCGAATTCACAAAGCAAGGTTTGAGCTCAGACCAAGGTTTGAGCTCAAACCTCCTTTTGTTTCGCCAAACCTCCTTTTGTTCTTTACAAACCAGGTTTGTAAAAAAACGCGTAAAACGCGTCATATGACGTACGAAAACCAAGGTTTGTCGACAAACCTCCTTTGTGAATTCGGGCCATTGAGAGTATAGAGATTTCTTGGACTCTCTGGGGTGTATTTTACTCATACCATTAAATCCGACCCTGGGTCTGAGGTCACGTTAACCAAATGAAAACTTCGACCCCCAGACTAATAACTTCCTTTGTTTAACCCAATTTTTAACAAAAACTAGTCAGGTTTTAATTTTTGTAGAATACTGGCCTTTGGGTGCAGCCGGTCGTATTTGCTCGCGAAGCTAGTGGTTCATACCATTCTTTGAAGTAGAGTTATGACGCTTATTATGCTCCTGTACAAGCGGTATTGATCGTAACCCACATTATGTCCCAGTTTCTCGTATTCGACGAAACTTAATAATGTGAAACTGATTTGATGCTATCAATGGAGAGATATACTTTTAGAGACTAAGTTTTATTGCATAGTCAATCCTCAAAATTACAAATGAAATGAAAGATATAATTGTGAATAAATCTTTATAACGAATAAAATGAAGTATTACCTGTGACAACAAGACTGAGTTAACATTGAAAGGCATATCTAATTTTTTTATTGTAATATCTCTTGTTTTCGCAGTCCTTTAAAATTTATTAGATCCACCCAAATGTTTCATTTCATTTAATTTTGCAATCTCTGTATTCTGTCCTTCACCTTTCACTGTCCCCTCTCACTGTCTCTGATGTAACTCTTTGTCACCCTATGATTTATCACCATTTTCTCTATGTCTCTACATGCATTCACATCTGTCTCCCTCTCCTTTCCTGCCTCTGAAACGTGCACATTGTCAATCTTATCAACCTCTCTCTTTCTTTGGCACCTGGATGAAACAGGATGACGAGGTATGGCAGGATGTTGTTCGAATGACTCAACGCTTCATCAGCGAGTCTCCGGAGGACAGTCAGGTTGGCATTGCCTCCTATTCCAACGCCGGCCGCAAGCCCGTCATCAGGTCCTATCTCCAAGACATGACACCCGAGGGAAAGGCAAACCTCATGTCGGTCGTCTCCAGGCTTCAGTCACCTCAAACCAGCTCCCAGACCAACCCCTTGCTGGCTCTCCGTCATGCCTACTATAAAGTGAGTGCCCCATCATCCTAAGACCTGATACAAATTATATCAAATTACGGTTCTACGACATGCTTCCGGCAATATTATTGTTCCCCGGTGTTTACTCCATCTTCAACCGTAGACCTTAACCCTACGTTTCGACAGATAAAGGTCTCGAGAACTATTGTTAGATCAAGACAATAGTGTGGGGTCCCCCAAGTAACCTGCACTCAGGGGCACAGATCAGGACGGGGGCAGGGTTTTGAGCGGTTGCCCCAGATAATTCTGTGTTTAACTACATGTAGGTACCGTATGTATCTCAAATGTGATTCATTTTTATATCCCTCCCCCCTCCAATCGCATGATAGGTTGTGCTTATGAGCATTTATGCTTAGATATGAATGAAGTTAGATTCTACTAAATTTTTAAAAATGCCTTCAGTGTCCTATAAATTGAACTGCATATTTTATTTGTCCAAGCCTTTCCATTGTAGAATGGAAGTCATAAAAGTAGATGCATACGGCATGATATATAGGGTTCCTACATGTAGAACAATAGCCCTAGAATTAAAACCTTCTGTGTTTTTTCCCACTCCTTACGGGATAGATATTGTGGCACTCAGAATTAGTACGGCGGTCACAGTGGACAAAATCATATGGAAAAAAGATCATTCAGTCGCGACCCACTCTTTGTTCTTTCTTCTTACATTTACAATCAAGGTTAATTCCAAATTTGAAGAGAAAACATTCCCAGTCTTTTTCTTAGATCATCCTGTTCATAATATTGTTGCATAATGTATGGAAATGTTGCCAAGCAAGGGACACTGTTTGTCTCCCTTAACCCGTCTGTATAACAAAACCGTACAACGATATATCATACATCATGCCCTCCTTTCAAGGTACTACTCAATAACACTGGGGAATCAGAAATGGGAATCGGATCAAACATCCTTCTCTTCAGTGGTTGGCAAGGCAGTTCCACGAGCATCACCAGAGAAATCAACAGCTTTCGCGGACAGGGGGTCGAAGTCCAAGCATCTGAGTATGGACCACCGTCATCCGGTCGACAAAGTGTCAACATCCCGGGTGTTCTGGAGCCGAGTCGGATATACGGATACATGCCTGGCTCGAATCCGGTCGAACCACCCGCAAACCCGGTTGAACCACCTGAGCCGGTTTTCCGCGATCTCTCCAACGATCCTAGGCTGATTCAGGTAAGTTTCACCAGAAAGAAAGCTGTAGATAGAAATACCCTAGTCTCACTGACGAGACTGACACCGGACCGACACTATAGGCCCGATCAACAAAAATAAGATAAGCCGAGTGACCTAGAGTCGGTCGTTTGGTTGAATGTATATTCCTGGCTTTCGTGAATGTTCAACCAACACCTAATGTAACGTTTGCTAGACATATTTTGTTGGACTGTGGTAAAACACACCCCTGAATCTGATCCATAAACATTAAACGAACGTCCAGCTTATCGTATGCTGGACGTTTGTTAAATGTATCCTTGGTATCATCCGCGAACGTTCAACTAACGTTAGAATACTTTGTTAGATAAACGTGAATTGCTTGCTGATATCGTCGCTAACCTCATCTTTATATCATCGTCTCCAGATTGTTCGTCGAGACTTTGAAAACGTCATGCCCCATCGCAACCTCACAACGCCAGTCTACATCGATGGAACAGTCGGTCGGTTAACCACATTCCGTGTACAATGGGACCAGAACCCGGTCACGGTGGAGCTTCGCAACCCAAGCGGCCATGTCTACACACTCAGGTCGACGACTGTGGCCGTTGTCGACACGTCCAGGCAGAAGGCCGACTTCAGGCTTCCTGGTTTGATTCAGGTACGTCTCGAGGAAATCAGTTCATTATTTAGATAAACTGTTTAAATCAAAGAAAAGGATTATCACTTAGACGAATTCGGGGGAAAATGATTTAGTTCTAATATCGTTTTTATATATATTAAGCGGTTAATCCAAATGGCATGAGTCGGAATTGGATATCCATTGTGAGAATATAATGAGCTTTAATACATCCATATAGTAAATTTAAAGACCATCTATCCATTCAATTAGCATTCAAGTCTTAGTCAACCTCGTTCATCCTCAGACCAGACGCATCAAAGGACATGAAATTAATCCGTTAAGGCTCGTCCAGATATGACGCTGTAAAATTGCGGCGTTTGAATAAATATTGTAATGATGGCCTAATTTGTAAAACGTTTATCTGTATCTTAAAGATAAACTCCAGTTCTGGTAAAAAAAAAGAAGAAAATTAATTCTCACAGAATCAAACGAAACTTACACTGAATGTTCAAGATTACAAATAAATGACATGTGCCAAACAATTTTGGAAGAAAATGTATACTGGCTGAGTAATGAGCATAGAAAGACAAGGAAATCAAGGTAGTACTAGCCCCGACACCATGTGTGTTGTCCCATATATAGCTTTCTGTGTACAGTGCTTGTTACTTTACCAACACTCGGCCAAATTTATTATGATTTTGATGACTCCAGAACCTTGCAGTGCACACCAATACTTGCATGCTACATGATCAACTGTTTCTGATCCTTTCCACACCTTTTGAATCGCATGAATCGCATGACTAGAACTGGAGTTTATCTTTGACATAGAGCTCATTGAAAACGCGCAAGTCCTTTATGCTCGCAGTTGCCGTTTATTTAATCGTACAAAATATTTGAACAATCCTTTAATCGACTGGACATTAAGAATAACCTATACACTAACCAGTGAACTAGTCAGTAATTCTATCTTTTAATGAATGCTTGTTTTTCGTTCGTCTCTTTCCATCTTAGAAAGGAATCTGGTACGTAAGTATCAAGAACATGGAAATGGAATACCAATCGGTCGAACTGGACGTCTACTCGGCCGCTGCCGATCCTACCCAACTCCCTATCCGAGCTAGGCCCCTCGTCATGCAGCAAGAGATCGACATCAATATCGAACCCGTGCTAGTCCTCCACGGCGAGGTCAAGCAAGGGGAGATGCCCGTGGTCGGAGCAACCGTCATCGTCTCCGTCGATCGTCCAAATTCATATCCGATCCGGGTCACACTGAGGGATAGTGGAATCGGTAAGTTGTACAACTTGATGTACAGTACGTTTTGCAAAAAGTCCGTCTACAGTCTTCATTTTGCAGAGATTCCGGACCGATATTTAAATTCAATACTTAATACCAATAACAATGATGGTGTCTTCTTGTATAGTTCCTTGACCACCAAATCGTGACGGGTATCCATTTACACCTTGATGGAGGTTGGCAAACACGGGTTAATGTTTTTGTCACAGGACGTTGGTGCCGGGCTGCGATCCGAACCCTCAACCCTTTAATTGAAAGTCAAGTGATTGAACCACTATATCACGGAACCTCACCTTAAGTCAGATACATAAGTATCGTACTTAGTGGTGGGAATCGACAACATAACAATTTGTCTTCACTTATGGTGTGTTCACAGGTGCCGATGTGAGAAAGAATGATGGCATCTATTCGGCTTACTTTACCGATTTCACGGAGGAAGGCAACTATCAGCTGGACATGAGCGCCGTTGGGGACAACACGGCCTCTAAGCAGAGACAACCCTGGATGTCCAGTGGAGTTCAGCCTGCTGATTGGGGTCAGTCATACACAATTTATTATTATCCTATTCAGACTTCTTATTTCTTATTGCCTGTAAAAAGAGTCAGGGTCGTCACGAAACATCACAGCTAAATGTGAATCACATCGACAAACTATGACCGTTATTGGCACTCTCGCGCAAAATTATATCATCCTTTACGACAACTTTCAGATCACTATTCTTTCCCAATTTAATGGTAATTATGGTGATATTAAATGCATGGTAATAAACAAGACATACTGAGGATATAATTTCCGTTCAGAATTGAAATTTTCACGTTTATCATGCATGCGAATGATGACGAACTCGTAGAACAAGTCGTCAATGATTGAATAGAAGATGGCATCTGAATCAAGGCTTGACGAAAAACCGCAAATATTTGTCTTATGAATTAAAATCACTTTTATCAAAAGAGGATATGAAGATTGTTTAATTACATTTTGAAAGAACAATGAATCTTTGAGATTATATTTTCCTCGATAACATGCACCGTACTCATTTTGAAAATGAGTTTCATGACAACATTAGATTGTAAGACTTCGTCACCCTGAAGATATTACTTTCTTTTCTTATAGATGCCGTAGAGCAGCCGCCAGCCATCGTAACCATCGACCCGTTCATGAGAGCTCCTCCCGAGGCGCATGTCGAGGTGACAGGTGATGTGGCATCGTTGATGAGAGTAGATAACTTTCCACCAGCCCGTATCAGTGATCTTGAGGTATTAGGGTTTGATACCGACGCAGGCACGGCGAGGCTCCGGTGGACAGCCATGGGAGATAACTATGAAACAGGAATGGGTAAGTAAAAGTTCATCTGAATATTGTGTGATAATTATCTTCAAGTATTAGGCCTACTTTGTGTCTTTCCGGACTCGGTGAAAGATCGAGGCCGGGTTATAGCCGTGTTATCCCCCAGTAAATACTGTAAAGCCGGCCGATTCTTGGTCATTCGTGGTAACGTCCGTTTTTTGTTTGGTCATTAATTTTGTCGGTCTGGCGCCGGTCTTGTCTTAGTGACCGCGGTATGAGCCAATGAAGATATCTAATACTTTTACGAATTTTCGGCATTTCGGAGTACATCTCTCAACACCCCTCCTCTTCAAAGTTGTTCGATATAGATGTGTGAAATAGTGACTAGAGATATTATAAAGAATTTCAAGGGATTCAATTACACAAAACAAGACATTTCTTACTATTTAGAGGTCCGATATGTAGCTAACACTTCAACTCTTGAAACCCAGTCGCCTATTTTCAAATAATTCGCAGTTAAAATGGATAGGGGATACTTATATGAATATAAACAATCGACAGTTAAGTCCACTTAATTCTCCTAGTCGGCGTAATAGTGAAATCGGCTTCAAATCGTAGACGATCGCACAACTGAGTTGACATCACTACGATTCTGAGCCCATATGAATTTTGCTCCTTTAAGGAAATTTGCTGTCCCCGACACTGTTATTTATTATTCATATAGATATTTAGGATCTCGATCATTAATATTTTACATGATTGAATGTTCAAGTCGAATGCTACTGCAAATTCTTCCAAGATCGGATTCTATAGTGAGGTGGTATAGTGTGCGATAGGCTTAAGATTTCGGAATATGTGAATGTTCAAAGGCATATGCTTAACGATCTAAGAATGACAAGGTAATTTCGAATCTATACAAATCATGTTCCTTTCCTGTTTTCCAGCTTCCCAATACGAGATCCGATACAGCGACAATGCCAACTTGTTAGCTAGTTCCTACTACTCCGGTACCGTCCTCCCACAAGCCCTCGTTCTAGATGGCAACCTAATGGTCGCCAAGCTGAGTTTCCAAACTGAGATTATGACTGTCCGTCTTCCTCCAAACGCCTGCAATCCAGTCTGCGGAATCCGTCTCCTGGCCCTGGATGATGTCGGCAACCGGGGCAAACCATCAAACATGGTGACGGTAGTCATATCTGCAGGGCCGCCGACCACTGGGCAGACGGTCACAACGTTCTATGATGTCACGGTCGGAACGGGTGTCGATGGTGGTTTTGGGGGTGGTAGAGGTGGTGGTGGAGGTGGTAGAGGTGGTGGTGGAGGTAACGGTGCTGGTGGTGGTGGTGGTGGTGGTGGTGGTGGAGCACGGCCCGCTGACCCTCGTATGCCGACGACATCGGGACCTTTTGCCTTCACGCCAGGAATCATGGACCCAAGTCAACCTGGTTTATTCCCCACGTCCGGAACCGGCGGCGGTAGTGACGCAAACACGACGAAAGTACCCGGGGCTCCACCACGGGGGCTCAAGCCCCAAAGAAAGAGAAAATCCACGATCATCGCTGCTATCGCAGTGGTTGTCGTTCTTCTATTCATTACTGCTATTGTGATATACTCGGTTATCAGGCACAGAGTTCTTACAAAGCGAAATCGAAATCGAGATCAGTGGGCGAATCCAATGGACGCCGAGGCTGACCCGGAGACAGACAAGCCCAGAAAGAAACGATCCAAAGGAAAAGTGAACGATGCATTAGTACTTGAAGACATGTAACATCTAGCTGCCTTTATGATGAACGATTTGAAAAGACAATTGTTGTTCAGATAATATATTACAAGTATATAATTGTTATATTCTGTCCAAAAGGATTTAACCGAAGCAGTGGAAGAAAATGCATCACTATCATAGTTAAACTCCGTCTGCAAAGAAAATAATGCATAGGGATAACAATGACACTGGATACTTGTATGGTGCTCATATCCAGCACGCAAGCTCAAGGGAGTCCAATATTACCCCGGCTTTAGCTACGCAACCAATTCTGGTGTTCACAGCATTTAGATAATTCGTTCCTATATGTACCCATTATACCTGACTAAAGTGTATGGGTTAAGAGTGGCATATTACATAATGATGTCTCAAAACGTTATCTTTGTTACGGTTGTACTTCTCTGATTATTGAGCCCCTTTAATTACTCCTCAAGGATTGCAATCAATTGGTAAAGAGTAGTCATTGTACCAGCTATCCAAAACTCACTTAGAGTTTGGGGAAGTGGTAACACGAGAAATTTGTTACCGAACACGATATAGTTTTGATTGTTTTAATTTTTAAAAAGCAACACTGTTCTTAGATTTTGTGCAGGAGCGGATTCAGGCTCGTGCTTCAGCAACCCATATATGTGTCTGTGCCCCTCCCCACACACACCTTATGCGGAGGGGGGGGGGTTCCGCCTGTGGATTGGATACGCTACTGTATATTTGTTTTTATTTTTTTATTTTTATTTATTTCTGATCTTTTGACAGGGTAGCCCATTCACCAGCAAGTAGTGGTCTTCCATGGGGCCCTGAATGAACATATTTACATCGTTTATAACATTTATACAGAACAGTTACAAAAATAATACTCGTTTGCAAAATAAACATATATCATAAACCAGTAAACAGTAATGTCAATAGGAAAATATTAATTAAGTCGCAAATATGTGAATAAGTCATGTAAATATTACAGAACATGCACGTAGTGTATATACGGCTGAGCCATTCACAAATTACAACTTTGTTTAAACAATCTCTTAAATGAATTGACAGAGGAAGCCGTTCTCAATGAATTATCTAGCTTATTCCATTCAAATATGGAAGAAACAATTGGGCTACACTTATAACAATCAGTGTGAAATCTAGGCACACGTAAACATCCACTGTCTATTTGCCTTGTATGATGCTCATGTACATCATTAGGATTGATTAAGCTTACCTGAAATCTCAATTTATTGAGCATTCCTGTAAGAAACAATGGTAACTTGGTAAAGGACATGCTATCGTTACTTCTTCGTATAATCCTAACTTTTTATGTAAACGTCTGTATTATCTTCTCAGATATAAACCTTGTTAGTTCAAGAATTTACTCTTGACCCTTTTTTCACTAGGCTTAATTATAGTTCCATTTGGTCTATATAATCAATAATAGTATACAACTAGTTTGATCTGTTAATATTTTAAGACGTGTATGTAATAACATGGTTCATTACAAACAAAGAGTTTCACTTGAATGAATAAATAAATGAATAAATGAATGTAACGATTTTTATGCTTTCATTGAATTATTAAAATCTATAAAATATATTTTTATGTAATTTTCATGAAAAAAAAAATGCTATTTTGTGTGCTTGTTGTGTGAAAAGCGTGTTTGTTCACGATTCTGTGTAACATAAAAATGTAATGTATTCATGTTTCATTTTATTGAAAAGTTTGATACATAATATAACAAATCGCTTTAAAATGTATATATTCTGGCAATAAAAGACTTATTTCAGTTTTAAAAGTTTTCGAGATGATTTATGATACTTGTATACAGACAGAGGTATTTATTTGTGTGATTATCTTTAGTTTTACTTAGTTTTAGTTTTTTTCATAATAATATCAGTAATATATTTTTGTGTGCACAACCGTGTTTCAACTGGCATTGAATGACGTTATTGTGCTTCTGTGTTATCGTATTCATGTACATAATATACATGTATAAAGAATCTGATGTAAATTACATGATTAACATGCCTGTGTTTTCATCTTTTCTGTTAAGAAAAAAATCAGGGTCAATTCATTTATACCCCTTTTGATTATATGTTTGTTTTGTTTCTTGTCAATAAAGATCTCTCTCTGTTCTGATTAAAGTTTAGTAGAGTGTTTTCCTTGCTTTTTACAATGTTTCAGTATATAGTTTGGCATGTGTGGAATAATAATAATAAATCGAAAATATTTGTTTGAATTTATGAATTTGAATCCTTTCAATTCAAATATTTGTAAGAATGATATAACAAAATGCCAAACTAACGAAGAAGGTAGAGGGCGGCTACAGGGAACTTAAAACCGAAATTAAATCAAAGAAATCGATTAGACACCTTCTACTCATCTCCTCGATAAAACTAAAATGGATACATAACAAACAAAAACTTTGCTCGCCCTTGATGTGGAATATAGATATATATCAATATGTTAGCGATAAGTTATGGTCAGCCAGTAAGTCGGTGGGGACATTGGAAGTTCATTCGGGCAAGATAATGTAAGCGATTCAGCCACTTGATCGAGGACCTTGACGACTGGCGGCCATATTTCTTTTATTTTTATTATGAGAAGGAGCAGCAAACAAAAGAAATATGATCCACCATGTGATGAAAGGAAAACAGAAGGAAGATAAGAAAGACAAACAAAGCAAAAGGGGCACGTACCTTACTAGTGGATGTTTCAAACTTTTGGTTCAAGTTCAACTGCACATTGTGTGCATTAATCTCTTTTCTTGTGCCCCTTGAAGACATTAATGCACCCTCCTGCTTTGTTTAAAGGGGAAGAAAAACTAGAAAGAAAGAAAGAAATAATGAAAAAAAGAAAGAAAAAAATTTTAAAAATGGAAAAACGGAATGACAAAAAGAAAAAATTAGGAATTCAGAGAAAAAGAACAGAAAGAAAAAAAGAATGACAAAAAGAAAGAAGGAGGAAAAAAAATAAAATAAAAGGGGCTTTTTAAAGGGCCTAATGTAAAGTCTAGTTATTGTTCCATTGGTGCCACATAAATGACAAATACAGGTGCATTTCAATTCTGCGATGATTTTAAAGAGCATATCATACAAATTATTTGCGCTGAATTAGCATTTTCTAATCCCCTCTGTCTGCCGCCCATACACCCTAAAGGGGAGCCTTTATGGGAGAAAATTGAATCGAAATAGAACGATATTATGTTTTTAAATATCGAATCGGCCTGAATCGGAAAGGTTGGTAATCATCATTAAAAAGTCATTATAATAAACCATTCGAGTAATAAGTGTCTGTTATACCAAGTTTTCCTAAACGTTGTCGGAATCTGTACTAAATACAACAGCGCCACCTTCAAAAGCTTGTCCCAGTAAGTTGTCAATCTATGAAGTAAGACATAAATACAAGCTATCGTGGCTATCATTATGAAGGCGTGTTAGTCTACAATTTACATTGAAATGGAAATGTTAGCGACAGAAAGGGGAAAGGGTAGAAAGAGAGAGAGAGAGGGGGGAAGAGAGAGAGAGGGGAAGAGAGAGAGGGGAAGAGAAAGAGAGAGAGAGAAAAAGGAAGGATCGAGAGGGGGAGAGAGGGAGAGAGAGAGAGAGAGAGGGAGGGAGGGAGAGAGAGAGAGAGAGAGAGAGAGAGAGAGAGAGAGAGAGAGAGAGAGAGAGAGAGAGAGAGAGACGTATGGGGGTGGGGAGGGTTATGTTTTGTTACAGCCTCTTCTTAAATTAGTTTTCTTATAAACATGCTTCTCTCTACAGAATGTTCTTCCGGATTTTATGCTAAAGCATTCTTTCCTTTTCCCCTCTCCTCTCCTTTTCATCATTATAGCCCTAATTCTTTTCCTGCATTGGATTACCCTTTTATTTCCTTTCTCCCAATTTATTCAATTTTTTCATTAAAAGTGTTTACATAATCCATAGATATATATATCAAAGGATATATCTCTAACTCTATGCAATGACCTGTTCCAACAGTCCTCCACCTCTCTCAAAGTTATTGGCTTGATTTGCGATTTATTATGATTTGGATACCGGTTGTACACAAGGGCTAGCTCCGTCACAAGTGCAACGCCCATTTCACAAAAATGTTTTGATCAAATCGGCATAGGAAACTCAACACAGTATACACAGTGCAACAAGCATTGATTGCATTTCCATGCGCTATAGCTATGAGAAGACAGTGCGAGCTAGCTGGTGAAGACGGAGGGAAATCCCCGAGGTGAATCTTTTGGCAGTGGAAAGAATAGAGCATATTACTTCCTTTTAGGACTACTTTCACAGGTTCTGAGGACAGGTGAGAGAGTCTTTGAGATATATATCAACATTTGGAGGCATTATCTACGCTTGTCATGATTGTTTTGCAGTGGTTTATTTGAGTTAATTTGTTTGAAGAGTTGCAGTTGCACGATCCACTGACTGCACTGGAATTCAACAGGTAGGTTGGCGCTGTCCCGTAGCGTACGTTGTGTTGCAATACAGATCGAGCTAGCAGCAGCTGCCTGCATAGCCATCATGTAGCCGCTGGTCGACCCACCTAGAATCATCTTGATTGATGGCTTTAACATCGAACAAAATGAATTTTTATTTTGTTTTTAGTTACGTAGCACTGCTATATATTTCAGTGTTATAGGCCTATGTATAGTATTTTGCTTGTTATCAGGTGCATGTGGCATCATTATAAAAGCTAAATAATAAAGTAACATGCTAAAAATTATATGCTAAACTCAGTAACTGCACTTAATTATTATTGCAAGACCTTAGTATTGACGATCATAGTATCATACCATCATTTTACTTTCACCATCTGTTTTCATTTTAGGTGTTACCTTTGACAAGCATATGAATATGTCAGGTCATGTTTCAAATGTAGCAAAATCTGTTAATTTCCACTTACTTACCCTCTGTAGAATAAGGAAGTTCATAGATAAAAATTCTTCTCATGCAGTTGTAAGATCTCTTGTTTTGTTTCGTCAAGATTATTATAATTAAAAAATTTATGGTATATTGCTTAAACTCTCTTCAACTCATCCAAAATAAAGCAGCAAGGCTCATTCATTGTAAACCAAAACTTGTCTTGCCTCTCATCACTGATCTTCACTGGCTACGCATTAATAATTGTATCATACTTAATAAGACCTGAACTCCCACTGACAAACTGTGTCTCAATGATCAGGCCCCAGCATGCATAGGTCATCTACTCCATTTGCACACATCCATGTATACATGATCAGCTAGTAGTAAATACTTACCGTCCCTCGAACCAGTAAACGGATACATGTACTGTAGGTAATAGTGCCCCAAAAATCTGGCACTCCTTAGTCCTTACCCCCTGTGCTTAAGAATGGCCATACTTCACAGTGTGAATGTGTCTGAAACACATATTTTCTAACCTGTTTTAATATCCTCTCCGTTAGTAATTCACGTAAGCTTTGTATGAAATGTTCTCTCTTTTTGTCTGTTTGTATTTCATGTTTGTGTACTTTGTATCTATTGAAAAGGGGCTTTATAAATGTAATAAGACATTACTTGTAATTGTAATTCAGGTTGCAAACATAGAATTTACATGTAAATCTAACTGATTGCATGATCACAAGGCCCACTCACAAAGGAAGATGTTGATAATTTTTCCTATTTACACCATAGTAATATATTCAGATTCATGAACTAATGCCATAGCTCTGAACTGAACTTTTAAAACAAAACAAAAAAATTAACAAAGAATTTAATGGCCTCTCTTGAAAAATTTGACTTTTCACATTTTTGTTAAAACATAAATCACAGAAAAGTTTGATTTAATGTTTTATTAACTTTGTATGAAATAAGTGGTCTGCTTAAATTTTTAGCCCAAGAACGACAGACAAGATCATACATGTAAATTATGATTTATTTCTCTTTTTCAGAACAGACTCTTGGATCGAGCTAAAACTTAATCACCGGCATAATGTCAGCTGGACCAGTAAAAGGGGATGGTCCTGGACCTGGTCCTGGCCAGGGTTCTCCCATTGTACCCCTGGAGGAGGCTATGTCCAATGTGGAACTCTTAGGTGACCTGCCGACCCCTGACCCTCAGCCCATGATCGAGGCCAAGACGATAGCCTTGACCTACCATGCGAACTTTGACACTAACTTCAGTGACAGGACTGCTTTCATTACAGGTATTGCCAAGTTTATGGAGGAAGCCACAGTGCACTCGGAAATGGTAAGAATTACACCACTTTCATAACTTGATCCCAAAATGTAGGCCTATGCTTTTATTTCATTATTTTGGTTCATTCTGAACTCTGCTGTATTTTTATTTCATTAGCAAGTGCTCTATGATTTTCGACAAATAAAAGCTTGAATGATCACATGCATAATTTTGCCACATAAAAAAGTGAGGAAACTCAACTTTGATCGGTGATGTCTCATTGAATATATTGCTAATTCTTACAACTACTGTACATGTAATTCCTAAGCCTGTCTGTTGCAGCTGCACTGATGTCCCATTTATTATTTCCATTCATCATAGATAGTACAGCCAAAGCTGTGTAGATCTTGGTTACAGTCCTTTCTACACTCTACAGTGTAATTGAATATTATCTGATATCATGTCTCCATTTGTGAGCATCAGTGGTAGATATGTGCTTTATGTTGGCAACTTTTTTAAAAGTTCCAACCAAAAAGTACGATGTACAGACTCTACAGTGAGAGTTCATAACAACTCAGCTGACCCGCTAGTTAGTATTCATATTATTGATCGTAAACCGAAGGTCAAACATGTAGCATTGTGCCTTTCTTCAGTTGAACACAGTGGACCTTTATAGACTACAAGGCTATTCCATTCATGATACATGAATGATTATTTACACATCTGTACATATAGTTTAGAAACAAATTATTTGTAAGTGTACCTTGTTGTGCCTGTAGGCAGAAATTGCCAGTACAGCGTCGCTCTTTGATATTGAAATGTGAAAAATAGGGCATTTATAATTATAAATTGCATATTACATTTTGTCCTTTGTTAATGTCCCTACACTGTATGTGACCCCATACTACCGGTATTTTAAATGTATCTGTATAGCGTATTGTTTAGCATAGGTTGTATTAAAGGTATTTCATGAGATAGTGACATGGGTACATTTTGTAAGTAAATTATTGATTATTTATTGTGAATAAGTTTTCTTCTTTTACTTTCAGAAAGTGCTCTTACCAAAGTTTCAAAACCTAATCAAACATCTTGACCTTGCTAGAGTAGATGCAATTAGGCATTCAAACATGCACATATATACACAGTGTGTATGCTATCCTAAATGTTCAATTTTAAACCAATACGTTCCTACTTGAGATACATAGGATCACAGGGCATGTCTTCTTTAAATATGAGTTTATGTATGATAAAACATAATTTCAAAATTTAAGAAATGGGCGATAATAACGATATTGCAAAGCTTGTAATACTGTACAATGTAAAGGGCATAGAGACATACCTTGTATAATGCGCTATAGAAATATAATTTATTATTATTATTATATTTCTTCATGCAATTTAGCCTTCATCTACATACATGTATATGAACTGTGCAGAAATTCATGATGTAATTCACAAATTTATCTACATCACAATGCATTTTTTATTTGTTGTCTATGTACCATTTGAAATCTTTATCATTCATGTTCCTGCATCATTATTATTGTAAAGGATAAAACAATGTGATAAACAATGTGTATGTACATGTAGATGTTCATGAATATTTAAATCTGCAACTTTCCTGTTTTTCCACAGAACAACATCCTAAAGGAAGGAGAAGAGCATGCAGTCATGTTGTATACATGGAGGAGTTGTGCCAGAGCAGTGCCTTCGGTAAGAAATATGGATTCATAAAACTTTATTGAGTACATTAACTGTTTGGCAATTCTGTGTCCTGAAATTGATAGTCTCTATTAAAATGTGACCGTCGATTAATGGCTCTTTTGGTATCACTACTACTGTATCAATCAATGGATATGTCAAACAAACATAGGAGAGGAATGGATGAGAAACACATTGCGCAGAATGTCCTAATATATGTAACACTGTACACACTTGAGAGACTTTAATTCAATCTATATGGGGTCGAGGTGACTGTAATATCACTATTTCCTTCAGTACTGTGGCTCGTAGGAAATATTACTATTGCAGTGGCTTACAGTCCCCATAGATTTAGCTCTTTAAAAAAAATTAAAGGTGGTATAGTAATATCTCCATCTTAGATTTGGATTGTTAGTTTTACTAGATTTTGTAAAGTAATAATGTGTATTACAAGAAAAGGGATGATGCTGTATAAGGTAGCTTTATTGATGTACATGTACATTTAGAATTCAAATATGAGATGTAAAAGCAGGAGGTGATCTACATAAAGCTATGAACAATAACACTCGGGCCACCAAACGCTTTTTAAACAGTTAGAAAACAGAATAAAAATAAGAAGAACTTTCAAGAGCTAGTATGTTTTGACTTAAAGTGCTTGTTTCATCGTGGAATCGGCGTAAACAAAACCCATTTGCATTGGAACAAAATTAACCATTAATGCAAGGTACCTGCCTCCGTTTAAAGATGAAAAACAAGAAATTTCTTTGCCTATGGCATGCTGGAAAGGGTGGGAGTGCAAATTATTTCATTTCCTGACTTGAAATGAGAAAAAAGTTCAGTTTGTAAAAATACATTATGTAAAGCCTCACACATGATATGGGGCCCCACTTCACCACGCACATGAATTTGATCTCTAATCTTATCCTGAAAATCTTGTCTACATATTGAAGTTCACATGTTTTCACAAGAGCAATATTCATATTCTCTCGATATACATTTCATATTTAGTGCCACATGATTATTACTATAAAGTATTGCCAATGGCTTGTCTCAAATAACAAATCAGTAAAGAGCATTGTTTGTGTTTCTGATTAGGAAAAACAATTACTAACCCATATATATCATTGGTAGGCTGCCAAAATAAATTTGACTTATTTACTTTCATTTCAGTTATTATGTACATGTAGGTACATACATAGCCTTAATATTCCTAACAGATGTTTTTTTCCCCAAAAGTGAAGTATTAGTCAAATAGAACTTGAAAAATACTTAACAGCATCTGGCCATGTAATCAAAACATAAGCATTGTCATTTGTTGTTCCTGATGAATACAACTCGTGTCAAAGTTTTGCTCAGTGTATTTCAGAGTAACCAATATAACTGTATCAATGCCAAAAGATAAACGACATACGTTTATACATGTACTGTATGTCACTCTTAACAATTTTTTTTTTGTGACACAAAGCACAAAAAGTACATGCACACTACACTCACCTTTAATGTAAGTGTATAACGTTATAGCACTCAAATGAATAGTTGAGCTCTTTTGTAGCAGTTATTGCACCTTTAATTCAAATATACACTATTGCACCGAGGTTACCCCATTATCAGTGCATTTCTGAGTTATGTAAAACCTGTTCTGTCACTTGCAAACCCTCCCCCTCTTTTGACATGAAAGACCTCTTTTCCTGGCTTCCTTTGGGACCCTGAGGAAACTTGAAACTGACCTCCACTGTGCCCTACCATGCCAGGAATGCTGATAATTGATGACCTTGTTCATACTTTCCCTGTTTGGAAGAGGATTTACTTTAATCTGTCTCCAGAACAAAAAATGAAAAACAAGATAGAAATAAAGTAGTGAATACATATATATCTATGTAACATATGTTTTATGGACCTCTGCCTTGTGTAGATGAGTCTGAAATAAAGTTCTGAATTGAATTGAATTGAATACATGTACATGTATGTAGATGTAAAGACAGTACATCTGAAAGTAAATTTAATTATAAGGTTAAAAACTTTCCTCTTTCCTTGTACATGTTCAAGTGGGGTTTGGATGACCTTGTTCATACTTTCCTTCTTTGTGGGAGGATTAACTTTAATCTGCCTCAAGCGCCAAAAAGAAAGAAAGAAAGAGTGCCGAGCGCATACATGTATTTCAAAAATAGCTTTGGATGGCCTTGTTCATACTTTCTCTTCATTATTCCATCTAGAATAACTCTTAAAAGAAATGAAAGGTGTATCGTTTTTTTTCCTCAATCAATATTAGGTCCTTGAATAAAACAGAAATGTTATGAAGAAGTTTAAAAGTTTTCAACACAGTATTGGTTTGTCATACAATACATGTACATGTAGCGTTTTAAATAGCAACAGCATTTTAAAATTTGTTTTGACAAACAAGTTCTCTATTCTGTTTTTAGTCTATTTTAAATAATCTCCTCTATCGCAGAACATACATCTACATGTAAACATTTGTTAAATGAAAAGATTCTGCATTATTGTTGAGAAAACATTCTATGGCTTATGCCAAAGTACTTTTCAAAATGTTTGTCCTTATTCATACCACCAGGTCTCGATCCCAATGCCATGCTTACCCTGCTGTGTAATATGATGTTTCAAATTCAACCATACTGACAAACAAACACCCATTCCAATTTTATGGAACATCAAGTCTCAATGCCTTATTGTGATTTGTAATTAAAATAATTCACCGTCATTTATTGATAGAAAAGATTGACGAATCTATCCTCTGTTCTTAGTCTGAACAGTAATTATATTCCTTTATGATTTATTCGCTGATACATACAGTATTTATGTACTTCAGTTGAATTTTCACTCCCAAGTTTGCCAGGAAGGAAGGGGCTAGGAGAGGTTGAGTCCTGGGAAAGGTTGAACATATTCTGTGAACTTTTTTCATTTTTTAAATGTTAGTGTAGGAGTATATCATTGTACTTTACTCCAGTATACTGTAAATCATACAAGTCATGGTAAATATTATTAATACTAAAAGCTATCAATGTATTCTGGAAATTATACCATAGTCACAATTTGCACTGTTGTCACAATTAGGACTTGATGGTTGTTATGAGCCATGTCTGGTCATGAACAGGGTATGTCAAATTCCTGAGTGTAGGTAACTAGGCTGTGATGGTTTTTAATAGAGGAAGTTTGGTGTAGGAGGGCAATCATGGCGTAGGCAGATAACGACCCCTAAACAAGCATTGTTATTAACAACAAGCCCATTTACATTGCTGATTTTTTTTCTTCAAATCATCAATATTTATTTTAAAAACTTCCATTTACTGGTATAGATTTTATACTGTTGGAAAATCCCATAAAAACCATTGCCTTGGTGTTTGCATATTCTGTTTTGTTGTTGTGTGTTTGCGTGCATGTGCGTTGTACACATGCACCACTTGTTATTGCTCTATATATGCATTAGCACGGAAGCGAGAAGAGTCACGTGACCAAAAATTGAAATAGTTTACTGGTGTTTTGAGCTCGAACATTTTAATACTCCAGAAATGGGGTTCCTATTTGTGTTTATCGTTGGTTGCCTAGCAACATCTGACATAACTCTGGAATGTGAGAAAAAATGACAGTTTTTGATTGCAGTGTGAATGCACCTTATATTATAATAGCATTTGAACTCTTGGTATGCTTTTAAAATACCTATGGAATGTCCTATACTGCAGATACCATATCACAAACAATTCAGGCAGATGATTGAGTTTCATAAAGATTAAGAAGTATTTTGTAGAAATGTAGGCCTAATGTCATTTAAGAGTAAATCTTGTGTAACAGTTCTTTTTTGAACGAAGTTCTTTTATGGATGTGACTATAAATTGCAACTAATTTTTTTACATTAAGCAATTTTTTAACAAAAGTGTCCTAAAATGCATGCTTAGCCAGTCTCTTCATGTAATAACTGAGTTCGAAATTAGGAATCCTCCTGAATTATATGTGTAGATTAAAATAGATTAATGTTTCAATGATAAGGAGTTCATACAATTTTCCCTACCTATAATGGCTCTTAAACTTACCACATTGTATCTGGTAATGAATTTCATACAATTTACACACTCAATGAATACACACAATAATATGATACTTCCATGGCTAAAGTATGCATGGTAATTACAATGCCAAGATATGGTGAACTCTCCTTTCATTCTCTTGAACTTGGATATGAAACCAAGATGGAACCTTTTTGTGGGTGGGAATAATGAATACTAACGAGATCAAATTACCCCCTTGCTTTTAAAGTTAGAAGTCCCTGTCTTGCTGCTGAAACTGAAATGTACCTTAAGACAAGTTTATTGTGATGTCAGTCAAAATATATAACTACCGGTACATGAATTGACTTTCTTGGTATCCTCTCGATTCCTCTCCACAATATATTTAGGGTACTGTTAAATGAAATTGTAACAAGTTTGTGAAAGTAGAGGCATTGTGTATTAATGTAAGGTAAACAAGTGGATGTTGTAAAAACAGGATGAATCTAGGGACACCTGTAAGGTGATCTTTTCCCACTAGGCTAGGAATGATGCTGAACATTGTTATTTCATTTTTCCTCTGTTCAGAGCCAGATACATATGTTTAAATAATATCAATTAATGCCTTCTCTAAACAGATTATTTATTATATTTGAAAAAATATATTTGTGAAAAGAGGGGTCTACCGGTATATATTTGTAACTACATTGTAAGGCCTACATGTACTTGTCAAAAAGATTAGGCCTATAAAAGAAAACAACAAAACTGCCCTTATCCATATATTTTATGTATCCCAGTGCATTGTTCATGCATGTATTCACACTGTTTGCATTCACCAGTAGATGACTATATATAGATGTGTACAAACAGTCTGTACATTAGAATGATACTGTATTGTGAACCATTGCCACAAATAAGGTATGCATGGATGTGGAAATGAAAATAAAGTGGGCGTGGGCTGCACTCGGTGAAAATTGTTACTGCCGAACTAAACATTTGCCCTGATATTTTGCCACTGCCTACAGTCAATAGCCTCAATAGGTAATCCGCAGTTTAAAGGGCAAAGTGAAAAAGCTTGTTCTCTTGTAATCTGACTATTTAAAGTCTAGATCAACCACAGTTTTCTAAAGCCATTCCTCCGCTACCATTTGTCATTGTTTGTCTCTTTCTACTCTTGGCTAGTGATCCATGCTATTATAGGAGTTATGGAGGGGCCAGCTGATTGTATTCGGGTGCAGTTTGCTAGAATTGGGCCCACAGGTTATTTTTGGAATGTAAACTTTGCTGTAAACTTACCTTAAATAATAATGTTGTTGTTTTGATGATTTTTATTTGAGATGACATGAACAGACGTTGAATGGAATCATAACTCTTACGGGATCTTTCCTCAAATGCAGGAATAGGGGTGTTCTTGTGTGTTCTTTTGAGTGATTTTAATACTAAATTGTATTTGTAGTAATAGGTGATCATAATCGGGCTGAATATTTGCCTTAGTTATAAAATTGCCACAATTTTGTGATGCATAATGCTGTCATGATTGCCATCATGTGATCCAACCCTCCTTTATTGATTTATTAAGGAACATTGGATAATTGGGCTAATTGGGCATTTTTGTTAACATTCCAGTATTTTTTAGAATTATCGTTCATTCATGTGAATTTCAAATCATAATTAGCAGACACAGGAGACATACTAAGACAAAACAGAGCTCATTATAGAATCAAGATTGATCTAACAAGACATCAGCGTGACTCATAGATGATTTGCCTGTCTTAACAATTAATACATCACTAATCAACTCGTATAGAGTGTGAACCCCGAGCCTTGAGTTTGCATACTGTATCTCCAGCACATGGCAGTCATGTTGATGTGTTTAATTAGTCATTCAAGTTCACATTGACTGCCAATGAATCAAGGCATTGGTTTACTCAGCCTTACTTGCCTTGAGTTGTCCTAGTTTAAAAAAGAAAAATTCAAACCGAAAAGTGTACAGAAGCCATCAGCTGTGGGTGTAAAATTGGGTGTCGTAATTAAAAATTAAAAAGGCTGTTCATTAAACGTTTTGGATTTAAGATAACAATGTACATGTAGGGTGTCTTCAAGACTTCAACTAGAAATTGACGTCTTTTAGTACCCAGATGATTCTCAAAAATAAATGCATTAAATGAAAATAGATAAGGATATCCCATTTAATAAACAGTCGTTTTATTCTTTGTTAAACAGATTTTGGCAGGCACAGGTTTCTTGGGCCTTATGAAGGAGATTAAATCAACCATGCTCCTCTAGCCATTAGAAGTGAAATAAAGTCTTTCTCTATCTGTTCTTTGCTTTAAAAAGAATGAGTTGGAAATTACTAACTGGCAACTGCCTGATTTAATAATTTGATGTAATTAATGATAAAATTTGATTTTGCATCGAAATTCAATATCCTTTTAATTTATTTGGCCAAAGTTTTGTTGCTTGTGGCATCGTTGAATTGTAAGTAATGGACCACATCTTTTGTCTGTTTGAAGCCAGAGGGTGGTTAACACCCTTCTGGCTCCAAACAGATGATTTGTAATAGGAGCTTACCGGCAGGAGAATACATGTAGAGAAGAAACACTATGATTATATGATAAGAATGTAAGGAAGGTGGAAATAAGAAGATGAGAAGGGAGAGGAAGGTGGACTTTCAAGGCATACACTTTGAAATAGAAAATAAATAAAGTTTAGTTTGTGAGAAGGGATGTAACATCATGTACTAGACGTGTATATGATTATTCCAACAATGCATGTTCTTTTTAAATGGCTTTAGTTCAGGGATAGAATGACATTAATCCCTACAATTTCCTCCTAGACATTATTATGTTTCCCTTCCTTTGTTATAAACCTTGAAATCATTCAACAGGTTTCCTTATTATTTCCTCATGGTTATCAAAATAGATTGAAAAGAAACATAGTCATCCTGATCCAATGTATTTTATGATATCCTGTGGGGAGGTTACATGTAGGAGGGAAAATGAGAGATCTTTAAAGCATTTTCTGCCTCCTTAAAGGTTGTGTCAGCCATTTGCAGTAACATGGTGAAAGGGATTCTGGTCAAAGTACATCAAAGTTCAAAGTTTCAACACTCACTACATGATAATTGATGCCAAATGTCCAATGGAAGTTAAATTAGTATTCGAAATTTTAAGGAAAAATATTATGCAATATAGTTTTTTTTTTTTCTTCCGGTGAAATGTGAAGGTTAAGTGAGAAAAAAAATTGCCTTTGACATTTAAGTTTTTGCTATAATATAGTGAATAGTACTGCTTTTTTAGATAATGTTTCCTTTTTAGATAATAAATTTCTAAATACGTATTATATATTATATACCTCACTTAAGTAATCCAGCAATCTGATTGGTCGAAATTGCATTCATAAACTTTAACTGTTCCCGAAAATTCCCGGTAACCATGGTTAAAAAACAGTTCAAAATCCCAATAACCATGGTTATTGGGAAAATAGGTCAGTCTCCATGGTTACCCCATAGGTTTACATGTTAAAAAATGGTCTGAGCGATCGAGGATACCGTACGTGTGCGAAGAATTGGTCGGTAATTTCAATACAATTGAATCTCGATCGATCTTACCGACAATTTTATCTTGCATTGTTGACATGAAGACGAAAATAAACTTCCAAAAACAAAAAAACAACATCTGCCGATAGATCTTGATCTAAGTTCGTGCCAATATGCATTGCAAAAGTAAAAGAAGGGCCCGTTTAATGGAGCAGCCGCGAAGCATCGACCACGCGAAGCCGTTTTCAATTCATTTTAATGTATATATTGAAGAAAACTACTGGGCATGGTGACATAGCGCGCTGGCCGAGCGGTTTGAGACGCTGACTGTACTTTCATCACCTTTTGTACGCAAGAGTTCGAATCCCATCTTCGACAAAAGTTTTTTTTTTTTTTTTTTTTTTTTGGCATATAAAAGTATTAATGACTGCTTTAATATTCGAGAAATAGTTCTATTTCTCTCAAAGCAGTCATTAATACTATACTGTATACAGCTTCTTATACAATGTAACTTTGGATATTGATATCACATCATGTGGTTACAAGGAAAGTGTAAAAATATGAGACCAAATTATATCCTATACATGTACATGTACATCTTGGATAATTATCACCTCATACCTCAGAACAGTCATGATTTCATTAACAGTGAAAATAATGACGGTGATAAATAAGCAGTGGCAAATCCAGGGTGTATTTTTGTTAATGGGGGGGGGGGGGGGGGAGGGGGGAGGGGGGGTGCATAAGTTCAAAATCTATGACAATTAAAAAAAACTATTAAATTTAAGGTGCCTTTTTGGCCAAAAGTGTTTGCTTGTGGAAGGGAGGAGGGTTGCACACAAAATATCACAAAGGACTTAAACCCTCATTTACATAACCCATGGTTTAAAAATTAGCGCAAAATAAGCGTACCTTTCCTTGCGCGCATCTAATATTGGACATCTGACTGTGTCCCGCTTATTTTTGCTCAAATTTTAGAACATGGGTATAAAATGAGGGTTTAAACCATGGGTTAAATTTATACTACCTTTGTGAATTCGTGCCATTGGGTTTACTACTTTGCCGGGGGCATGCATGTGCCCTGTTGACCCCCATGGATCTGCCATTCAGATGATAGAAATATGTACTCTTAATAACACTTAACAACACTCAATGTTCGTTATCATAATTGCAGTGATTAGTCCATGTATCATTATTGTAGTCTTCATTGATGTGCTGGATTCAAGTTATTCACACAAATATGTTTTCATGATTTATTTCTTTTAGATCAAATCAAATCTTCAGGAGAACAGGCGAGAAATCAAAGAAACCTTCGTTGAGATCATGAAACCAGAGATCGCCAAGCTTAGTGCCTTCATGCATTTTCAGGTAAACTTACTGATCCAATTTTATAATGGTTTTCTGGGGAAGTGGCCCATCTTCCTATCCCCCTCCAATGTAGTATATTTACATGAATTTTTCAATGTTAAGTTCCCCTTTAACAAAAAATTAAACACCCAGTCCACTTACATACATACATACATACTGCAATAAATTGTGTATGAAATGAAAATAAGTTTTCTTGATTAAAACGGGGTTCATGTAGAAACTAGCTACTCTAAATATTATTTGTATCACCTGAATAAATAATGATAAGAAAAGCAAATACACCATGTCTGCACGTTCATGTAACTAGGCTACATGTACATGTAAATGTCAAATTATCTTGGTAAAATACAATCTATGTTTTTTGCTGAATCAGTTGTGTACCGAAACTAATTCAGTTGTTTGTACATGTAATTTGACACTTGTATTATTCTTATCTCAAATATCACGAATTCTTTATTTGTAAGCCTTGAGGTTTCTTTAAAAGCAATCAGTTTCGATGAAAAAAAATGCAGGTATAAATATTGGCATTGTTGGGTGTTAATATTTTGTAATGGAAGGTTTATTCATACATTTTTGTAAGAGGATCCCCATTTTTCTTTCGAATTTCTAATAGTGAAACAAAACATCTGTATAAAATTTGCATTTCGCCTATCCAAAATTATGAAATTTTATCATTGTTGTATTATAAATTTATTTCCTGTCTTTCATATAATGTAATTCCTACCTTTCTCGTATCTCATTTTGTAAAATCAATTTCTTTCTAATATTGCTACTTCCTCATCCACACACGAGCCATACAATCTCCCGCATAATTGATATTCACTATACCCAACGGACTGGGTAAATATTGATTGGATAGAAAGAATCACGACACGTGCTGTTGATAGTAAAAGCATAGGGTCCATGGTTAAAGCAGGGTACAAAGTTCATAAGGCTTGCAAGTTGCAATTAATTGTTGTATCAAAGAGTTCAAGAAAAATGACGTGTTTGGTTGGATTTTATTTTCATTTGACTTCCTCAAGTAACAACCACCTTGATATTACATTTCCTTCCCTTTCCTTTCAATTGATCATTTAATAGGGCAAAAATATTATGATTTTGATTTAATGCCTTTAATGTAGCTGTCTTTACTTAGTAATATATTTGTAATCGTTGGCACAAGTTTAGCTCAGACATCGGAACTAACTTTCAGACATGAACATTCAGATTTAATAATTTTATAACATGTGGATTTCAAATCCTTTATGTACAAACATTATCCCACTTATCCCAGCTCTTTTGGTACTTGAATATTTTTGTATACATTGTAAATAAGATATGTTCCAAGCATTGTAGTCACAGAGGACGTCATTTATTTCTAAGATTTATGCTGCAGACAAGTGATCTACATTGTACATGCCTATATAGATAAGGGTAGCCATTGATTTGTTTGATGGCAAGCTTTCCTACAAGTATGTATATATTGTCTTTTGACAGACAGAAGGACATTAAATCAGTGTTAAAGTAATGTCAATGCCCTTCTGGCTCTGAACAACAATATTATGTGAATTATAGCTGATAAACATTTTCATTCTGTAACAGAGATTTTCACCCTGTAATAGATCCCTCTACAGATGTGTTCTGTGTATGTCTACATTGAAATTTGGGATTCCTGGGAGTTAGAAATTTCAGGATTTGCTTACAGTACTTAACACTTTTCCAATTACATGAGAATCGCGATTCAAAAAGGACATATCTCCCATTCAATCAAAATCAGGTCCAATACACTGTAAGTAAATCTTTATTATCAATATCGTCCATTAATTGTCAATTGTATTTGACCAATCATTATACACTGTTTCAGGATATACTTAATGACCAGCCTTTGCTGGCCATACCTGCTTGAAGCAAGAAGGCTGTTAAGTCATACATTTTTATACAAAGTTTAAAAATGACCTTCCGTCTCCAAATAGACAATATACTGTATTAGTTCATACAGTGAAGTTTGTCAGGAATGAAAATATATGTACTGGTACATGTATTGGTGAATATGGTCTGAAGGGCAAACATTCAAAAAATCTCCTGGAACATTATAAGTAGAAATCAGACTATGAGGTTGTGTGAAAGGCTAATTATACATGATCGTACATGAAGTTGTAGCCATTGGGACGTATATGTAAATGTACATGTCAAAAAGACATGTTGTACGTATGTGATATGTAGCCTCTGTCACAAGATTATATTATGTTTTGTGCGGTTTTGAATTAAATGAACTTGAACTTGAACTATTGGATTTACCTCCTTTTGCAGCTCAAATTGACTCCCATGCACGAGAGCCAAAATACACATAAAAAAAGCCCAACATCCTGGCAAGGCCCAGCAATAGGAAATAAGGGTTGACGGACATCAGGAAATAAAGGGGCGATCTGTGTAATGAAATACCCCCAAACTAGCGTTAAAGTGACGTGTGACATCCTCTAGCAGAGTGATAGAGATTTGATGAATGCAATGCACAAATGTCCATTTCATTAAAGTTTGAAATTAGAGGGTGTATAGGCCTACATATATGAATAAATGACCCATATGTTCACTTTAAATTTGTATAAATAGGAGCATGATAAAAGTATTATTAGAGTTTGTGAACATAACTGGAGTAAAATACTGCATACATGTACCTAACAGTGCATAATAGCAGTATACATGTACCGGTAGGTTGCAGATTTGGGGTTAATGAACAATATATTACCTATGCCAGAATGACTTGTCTTGTAATGTTTTTAATTTTGTTTATACAATGGATCTACTTTGTGCTTGCACTTTGATTGTATGTGTACTTGTAAATATGTTTCTTGTTGTTGTACTCTCATACCCAAGAGGGGCCGGGGTCTATAGAGTTAACTGACAGAAACAACAACATCTTCCCATTTAATAACAAATTCTGGGCATTGTATTAAAACATTAATGAATGAATACAACACATTATAACAGCATTGCGTCTCCAAACATTTCCTTGTAGGACAGAAAAAATAATGAAGTCTGTGAAGACTTAGTGATAATGTCACTTCAAGGGTGACAATTAAGACAGTATTATAACACTTTCCATGTATTTCTAATCTTTGAATGTTCCTTTAATACCATTAATACATGTATATGCATCATAAGATCAAAATAATACATTTGCCTCTATAAACATTTCTTTGTAGGAAAGAGATATTAGAGAGTTGTCTGAAGACTTAAAGAGAAACATGTACATGTTATATTGATATTAACCAAAGAATATTTCCTTGTAATTTTTATTTCTTACCATTCCCTATCAAGCCATTTGTGTATGAATGTTTATGGAGTATGTAAACATTGTCTTACTTAAAGGTAAAGACCAGTATTGGAAACGCCCCAATTTCAAAAAATGAAATGGAAGCTCTCATTACCAATCATGTGAAAGAATATGTTTTGACTATTACATGATAATAACAAATTTGCCGGGAAATCGCCTACTAATTCATATATTTGGTAAATTTGTTTCTCTCATGGTCTGTGAGAGATATAGGGTAGTCCCATATACATCTTTCTGTGTATAGTGCTTGTAACTTTACAAAGAATGGGCCAAACTTATTATCATTTTGATGATTCCAGAACCTTGCAGATGCTAGATGCTAGATGATCAACCTTTTCTGATCGATTCCACAACGTTTCTTTCACAATGCAATCGCATGACCATAACTGGTCTTTACCTTTAACATTTCCTTGTAGGAGAGAGCTATTAATGAGTTCTGTAAAGACTTGAAGAGATGATGTCATCATTGAAAGAAACAACACAATATCCCCATTTGTCACACTTCTTGGCAGTCCCTTTACATCTATTAATATATTCTAAGAGTGAATGAATGATTATAACTTTTTTGTTTTTCTAAACATTTTCTTGTACATGTATGAGAGAGCAATTATCAAGTTCAGTCAATCCCTTTACGTCTATCAATGCTTTCTAATAGTAAATGAATAATTATAAATAACTTTGTTGTTTCTCTAACCATTTTCTTGTAGGAGAGAGCAATTAACGAGTTCAGTGAAGACTTCAAGCGTTTATGTCACATTGAGAGGAGAAATGACTTTGTGTCTGAGTCTTACCTCCTGACCTTAGGTCGGCTTATGAACATGTTTGCTGTACTGGACGCCTTGAAGGATAGCAAAGCCAGTGTTAGGAATGACAACTCAGCTTACAATAGGTGGGTCTACAGAGTCTGGATAAGGAATAAAATGGGGTTATTTCTCACTTTACGTTTAAAGTTGTCTAATATATGTACATAGGCCCTTTCAAATAGAGCATTTCATGAAAAGAATTGTCAGTCATGGTGTGTGTTTTTTATCATTATACAATTGTTCTCTGAAATATTATTTCACAAGTTTTTAACCCTCTTTGCTTTCCAAATAAAAACACAAGTTTTTCTTTGTGTATGTTTCAAAATATTGGCAGTTTGAATGGCTTGTGGCAGTGTAATGGTTGAACTTGAACTGTATTGTGTTTCAAATGTGATACTTGACCAGAAAGATTTAAATCAGATTGTGTCTGTCATAGTTTAAGAAAGTTCAAAAGAAAATTGTTAAACAAGAACGATGTGTCCTGTTATTCATTTGCCAAAACACCTCAGACTTGGGATGGAAACAAATACAAAGCTCATAAATTTCTCATTCTGGTTACATTTATCCATATTGCAGAATGTCCCTTTACATGTACATGTGCATTCAATCTACTAGCTAGGATGCACAATAAATTGCAAAAAAAAAATCTCTATTATGAACAGGAAATCCTCCATATTCCTTATTTGATTTTCAAATGTAGTCTGTAATGATACAACATATAACCATGATACATACATGACCGACCATGTAGTCTGCTTCTTTTTCTTGTTTTGGCTGAATGTTTATCTTTCTCTCTATATAGAATTCTGTTATTGTATTTTTAAACTAAAAAGAAATGATAGATTGGTGAAATAAATGATTTTCCAACTCTATGGACCCATAATCATAGTTTTTTTTAAGTCTTAATTGTTAATTTGGTAAATCCATCCAGGACATCCCAGTAGAACCTTCAATAAAAGTTATCAGAAGGTCTCTGAGTCAGAAATTTCAATCCTGTGGTGTATCGGTCTCATCGACCTTGTGGGTTGTTGGTGTCAGAGGCTGTGTGGTCTAAGGGGCTGTAGCTAACCTATCAATGTTTCCATTGTTCTAGGGACGCCAACTTCTTGAGGTCAGCGATCGACATGGCTGCAGTCCAGGAGTCGCAGAAGATGACCATGTTCCTGGCCACCAATCAGTCCATCACTAACACCCTCAAGGCTACTCTGCTCAAGATTGAAGGTTATGAGGAGATGATTGCAGACGTCGTTAATCTCTGCGTCAAGCTCTTTGAGAATCAGCAGTATGTCTTGCCTGCAGAGAAGCATCTGCTTGTCAAGGTGAGGTTTGTGTCTTTGAGAATCATCAGCATGTCTTGCCTGCAGAGAAGCATCTGCTTGTCAAGAAAAGGGTTTGTCTCTTTGAGAATCAGCAGTATGTCTTGCCTGCAGAGAAGCATCTGCTTGTCAAGGTAAGGTTTGTCTTTTTGAGAATCATCAGCATGTCTTGCCTGCAGAGAAGCATCTGCTTGTCAAGAAAAGGGTTTGTCTCTTTGAGAATCAGCAGTATGTCTTGCCTGCAGAGAAGCATCTGCTTGTCAAGGTAAGGTTTGTCTCTTTGAGAATCAGCAGTATGTCTTGCCTGCAGAAAAGCATCTGCTTGTCAAGAAAAGGGTTTGTCTCTTTGAGAATCAGCAGTATGTCTTGCCTGCAGAGAAGCATCTGCTTGTCAAGGTAAGGTTTGTCTCTTTGAGAATCAGCAGTATGTCTTACCTGCAGAGAAGCATCTGCTTGTCAAGGTAAGGGTTTGTCTCTTTGAGAATCAGCAGTATGTCTTGCCTGCAGAGAAGCATCTGCTTGTCAAGGTAAGGTTTGTCTCTTTGAGAATCAGCAGTATGTCTTACCTGCAGAGAAGCATCTGCTTGTCAAGGTAAGGTTTGTCTCTTTGGGAATCAGCAGTATGTCTTGCCTGCAGATAAGCATCTGCTTGTCAAGGTAAGGTTTGTCTCTTTGAGAATCAGCAGTACATGTATGTCTTGCCTGCAGAGAAGCATCTACTTGTCAAGGTAAGGTTGGTCTCCTTGAGAATCAGCAGTATGTCTTGCCTGCAGAGAAGCATCTGCTTGTCAAGGTAAGGTTCGTCTTGGACACTTTGGCCACTTAGAATAGAAGAATGATTGTAAAAATTCTAAAATTGTTGTTTAATCCAATTAAGGTACATGTAGAAATAAGAAGCCTTGGTCACAAAAGTCTTGAGCAGACAAAACACCAAGCAAGCAAGCAAGCTTATATACAAATGCAAAGTGTAGAAAGGTCTAGACCTGAGCCTGATGAATTCTCTTTAGGTGAAGATCCCAAGTAGAAGGGGCTTGTTTTAATAGTGAAAAAAAGAATGAACTCTACTCCAAATGTGAAGTCTCCATAATGTCATGTAGTATTTTCATGAATGTTTCAAACATGAAGTGATTAAACCAGTTTCATAAGTTATTTCAACACCAACTTAAGCTTCAAGTTATCAAGACCTTGGGGAATGTTTGTGCGTTTTGCGTTCATATGTGAAAAAGCAGTTGATATTCAAGGATAGTTATTTAAACTTTTATTTCATATGTATGAAACCTTTGTTTTTGCAGGTGATGGGGATAGGTCTGTTCCTGATGGACAATGATACAAACAGCATCTATAAGATGGACCAGAAGAACAGAATCAGTCTCTCCAAGATTGACAAGATCTTCAAGGTTTGTTCAGTCCTCCTCTACCATCGATGATCTGACATTAACTTTGAGCATTAGTTTGTCATAGATTTGGGTTAGGGTTACCATCGGGTTGTAGGTTAGGGTAGGTTTAAGGTTAGGGTGAGATATATAATGTTTGGTCCAGAGTTGAAGTTAGACATTTGTTTGTGTGTATGTGTATGCAGTGTTGGAATGACTTGCTTAAAGTACTTGTCTTCAGTTTATTCATTATGCAGACTTTAACTATTGTAGTTTTGAATCTTAAGTGTCTGTTTTGTTCCCTTTTGTGAGAATATAGTTTCTATCATTACCAGAACTCAAGATTACTTACAAAGCATCTTAGTTATGATAAACCAAAACTAAATTTAACTTTTTCATTGATAGCAACTGGAGGTGGTGCCACTGTATGGAGATCTCCAGATCTCAGTCCTGTCTTACATCAAGAAATGTGCCAACTACGAGACCCATCAGTCCTTCTGGAAGAGCGAGAACATCACAGCAACGGGGTCACAGTTCAACATCCTCAGACAGCAGGATGCCCTCAGGGACCAGCATACTAAGTACCTCGCTCAGCTGGTCAAGTATAACAAGATGCATCCACAATGGAAGGTCATTGAGGTAAGATCAAAGATTTATCTGTACGGTCATTCCATGAGGTTGGGGCAAAAGACATGATGATGTCCTCGAATGAGATCTTCTACTACACATGGAAGATGAAATCATCCCTTGAGGATTTTTATGCAATGAATATATAAAGTAGTGCTCTGCCAGAATCATTCCTTTTTCATTTGCTTCTCTTCGAAATCTTTGCTCAATATGCATTTCTTTTTTTACGAGCATTACATGGACATCACATTTATATAACATTACATAAATCTTTGGTCTACTAATAATAATGATAGTTTGTTCTTAGCCATATTGACTCTTCCAATTAGTTTTATGATTTGGAGTTTTTAAATGTAACGATACATTGGTTTACTGTAGTTCAGTTTTAAACATATGTTTTGTTTCCAAACAAATGTTACTATCAGTCTGCCTGCATTCCTATAATTTGGCCCTGTTTGGGGTAGGACCAGTAGGCTCTCACTATGCCTTTAGGTCATATACATATGCCTCTGTCCATTCAATTAAATCTATGACTGAGTTATAGAAGTACTCGCTCAAATGTTCACTTTCTTCTGTGCTATATTTCTCTTTCAACCTCTTAAATAATGTGAACTGTATGTACACACTTAATGGCCATTTCCTTTTCCGGCTACTGGTACTTCAAATGAATCCCATTTATGAGACAATAATTGAGGCACTTCAAATTGTCCAATTTATTTAATTGCAATATAACTGGTATCATATTTCAAGAATCAAACATTGTAATTGAATACAAATGCAGCCAATTGAAGTAATATGTTATTAGAAGCAAAATTATCAAGAAAACAGAACACAATAAAAATACACTGTAGTGTCGATTGAAATTAAATTTGTGGTTGATTCACACTTCACATTTAAAATGTTTTAATGGACTTGAAATAGAAAACAAGCTGCATTACTGCATTTTTGGTTTAATCCTGCTCAGAATTGATATTCTTTTTCTTCTTTTTATTGTTGTTGATGCAGGCCCAGAACAACAACCAGCCAGTAAAGAGGAGTGATGCAGAGAACAAGGCCATCTACGAGCTGGCACTCAAAGGCTTAAGATTACTCTCCAAACTCACTGCACTTGTCACTGAAATGGTGAGATTTACAAGTACAGTAGACAGATATACCCTGTCTTCTATGTGGTTAAGATGGTTGGCTCAGATCCTGTAGATTTAGCTTGTAACTTAAATTAATGTTTATATTTGTTTTCTATACTTCCTTTGAAAAGTTAGTTTTACTGACTAAAGTAAAGTAGGTTTATATTAAAAAGAAATGGTGACTTCATTATTGGCCTGTATTAGCACCAAGTGTTGTCCTAGTGTATTGCTGGGGTTGGTAACTTGGCTGTGTGCATAAGCAGCTAATTTCTGCGAAACCATTCCCATGGCTAGCTGCTCAAACGGTGATCTTCTCAAAGAAGTTGGGAAAGTAGCAAGTATTATCTCACTTGTCTAGTAGAAATATGTGTGGTCACATGAAGTGCTCTTGGCCAACCCATGAACAAGACATTCTCTATGTGGGATATAGTCGCAGGTTTAGGTAGTTCTATTCTTTAAGGAACACAAGATGAAGACAAACACAGGATTATGAAATGATGCTAGCAAATGAAATTTAATGAACACTCTCTCATAATCTTGATACACAACCCAGAGATGCAATAATGCACATTTTGAGTTGATTGATTTGTGTTGTTTCCAGTTCTCGTGGAAGCTCCTTCACCCCAGCACCAGCCACAAGCCAGAGGTAGAAAAGGCAGAGGAGTACGAGAAGGCCACCCGCTTCAATTACAACCAGCAGGAGAAGTTTGCTCTGATTGAGATCATCGCCATGATCAAGAGTCTCCAGGCTATCATCAGCAAGATGGAGCCGTTCTTCCAGGAAGCCATCCATCGGAGCATCTACAGCGAGGTCCAGGACTTCGTTCAGCTGACCCTGAGGGAACCCATGAGGGCAGCAGTCAAGAGGACCAAGAAGAAGAAAGGAACACTTATCTTGAGGTGAGGCAATATTCAAGTTCAGGCTTTCTTGAAGAATACACCACCATGCAGCAGCACAGTGAATTGGTTAGGGCCAGTGTTAGGGTCAGGGTCAGAGTAAGAGATACGGTGAGGGTTACTCATTTCAGGCATTCTTTAGTTCTTAAGTTTATGTACAATAATGTAATACATAGAAATAATCTAGGTATTTGATTGGTCAACTGAATATTACATGGTCTACATAATATTTACCATTCACTCTGACTATGCTTCTTCAAATCCATTTTTATTTTGGTCCAAACAAAATGCACTCACCCTTACTGTGTGTGTGTGTGTGTGTGTGTGTTGGGGGGGGGGGGGGGTGGGTAAATGCTAATGGAAGATTCTCCCTTATAAGGGTGGTGAGAAAGTTAATAGATCAGTCAATGTGTAGAGATCTACTTTCAACCTGCAAAATGATTGGGAAAACTGTATTAATACATATGAGGCTACCCTATTGTTGATGCTTTTGCTGTTGCTGTTGTTGTTGTTGTTGATATTGTTATTATTATTATTTTTGTGAATTTGGCCTTGCTTTGACCCATGCAGTATCATCCGTGGAGTGAGAGATAGTTGTTGTGATTGGCTGGAGGGCCAGCAGCCTGGAGATGACCCTGTCCTCAAGGGTGAGAAGGACCCTAAGACCGGCTACACTACCAAGAAGGTCCCAAGGAAGTGTATTGGACCCTCTACCACTCAGGTACAGTACACACCTAATAGTTTGTCCTCCCTAGTCTGAGGCAGAGTGTAGCAGTTTTTTATCCTGTTTTTACAGCAGTTTTGAGGTATTCTTGAAACATCTGTGCCCTTTACATTTAAAAAAATCTTTTCTTGCTGCCACATGATGTTCTACTTTTTTAGTAGTTGTATTATACGGAAATACTGTGTGTAAAGAAACACTTTTCAGGGAAACATAAAAAGGAGTCTATAGACCGAAGGCCCTTTCTGTATACATGTGGTCGCTGTTGTATGTTTCACTCTAATTTTAGTGGTAAATGATAAAGAAAATGAGATATGCCAATGTCTCTACAAAGGTTCTTTCTAAAGATTCTCAATTTGTGTGATGAGTTTTATAAATCCTGACTCCTTTATGTTCTCCACGTTAGCTTTACATGGTACGAACCATGCTGGAGTGTGTGACGGCGGACAAAGGTGGTACCGGCAAAAAGACGTTGAGGAAGGAACTACAAGACCTTGTACCCATGGAGCCTTTTGAAGAGTTCCTCAAGTCCTCGTTCTTCTATCTTCACCTCATCAACCTCCCAGGTTGGAAACTAATTATCTTATTTATTGATATCTTATGTAATGTATTTGAGAGTGTAATAGGATGTATTAATCAGATCTTATTATTTACATCATGGGACTGACTTTACACATCAACATCCAAAAGATGTGACTCAGCTTGGATTTAGGGTTCGTTAGATGGATCCTGACTAACCTGGTACTAGGGTCAACTCTGACTCGGCAGATTAGTGGCCGAGTTACCCAAGAGAGCTAAATTGATTTAGGATTTGTTAGATGGATCCCAACATTCTGATAAAAAAATTTACCATATATTTCTTTAGAAAAATAATTAGCTAAATTTGTATTTATAATTCATAATTAATGATCAAAAGTAAAGTAATCACTCACTATCTTGTCCTTCATTAATCACATTTAACATTTGAGAAATTCTATCCCCAACCTACTCGTCCTCTTTAAAGAATTTTGTATTTGTAATTACCATGACCAGAAACTGAAACAAAAAGATGTAAAAGACAATAAATCAAATTTTATGACCAATTCAAAGTTCCATAGCAGTTTATTTCACATAAATTATCCTTTTGGATAATTTATTGAACTCAATCACTGCACTTTTTTGCTTGAGCTGTGATAGGTTTCACATAGTAAGATGAATTATAACTTCCTTGCATGTTAGATTAAATGACCAACCTTGAATTTAAAGGTTAATCTTAGAATCTGGTAGGGAAAAAGATATTGGAATGAAGCTTGTTGAGTCAATCTTTTGAATTTGCAGCTACGATACGAAAGTGCGGTGATCTGTCCCAGCTCTGGTACAGGGAGTTCTACCTGGAGATGACTATGGGTAACCACATTCAGGTACATAATAGACTTGTTCTTCTGCAGCAATTGTTCCTCAAAAATTCCCTCCACTAACCAAAGATTGAACTTCAACCTTTAAAGGCATCGTTTAACAATGTTAAATCTGAGATGCCCGGCCCTACGTGCTACTAGTGTCTGTGATATGGTGTAATATTGAAGCCCTAAAAAAAATTGCGCTTCAAAATGATCAAGAAGTGCCTCAAAAAAGTAAAAATCTTGGAGTGACTGGTTTTACCATACTCGTTTTCCCAATAGACTGTAGTGTTATGAAAACCGTTTGGCAAATGCGAAATTTGGTTTTGATTTCCAATCATAAATATCTTGATAATCAGACAGGCGATCGGCTTGTAAAAGTCATGGAGTTCTTGACTGACCTAAAGGTTTATAATTATCATTGCAACATGAGCTAAATCCAGGATTTTGTTTCAGAATCTGAGACAAAGTTACCGGATTAACCAATTAGTAACCCCAAGCTTAATATGAAACCCAATCTCACCCTTTAAGACTTATTCAGATATGACGTGGCAAAACCAAAGCGTTTTTTTAATGAGGTAAAGTGTAATACACTTTCCATTTCTGTATCTTATAACACAGAGGTAAGTGAATATGTGCAAGTCCTATGTTGAGCGCAGTTGCCATTTATTTAACGTTGAAAAAAAATGTGGTTTACTGTGCCTCTCTTTGACAAAACAAAGCCTGCAACAAATGATGGAGTAACAAATATCAGATCACATAAAACTATTCCAGTTATTCTAGGCAACTATCCCATAGACCATCAAATCCACAATATTTCATTTCCCAGAAATTAACTGGGAAATTATTAAATATGTCTACCCAAAACTTCCCTTTTCCTGTCCATACAAATGCCATTGGGTCAATTTCAACACAATTTTTCTTAACTATACTTTTGTTCGTACATGCTATACAGAGGCTTAAAAACAAGGTGACCTTATTGTGTAGAGGTTGTATTATTGATAGTTTTCTGAATCTATTATGAATACAAGTAATGATGTTTCTCAATGTATATTTGTTGTAGTTCCCGATTGAGATGTCCATTCCATGGATCTTAACTGACGAGATCTTGACGGCCAAGGAGCCTGCCCTCATGGAGTAAGTATGGTATAGTTTGTGGTAGAGGGATTAGTAGGGAGTCTATTGTCTGTTTGGGGCCAAGGAGCCTGCCCTCATGGAGTAAGTATGGTATAGTTTGTGGTAGAGGGATTAGTAGGGAGTCTATTGTCTGTTTGGGGCCAAGGAGCCTGCCCTCATGGAGTAAGTATGGTATAGTTTGTGGTAGAGGGATTAGTAGGGAGTCTATTGTCTGTTTGGGGCCAAGGAGCCTGCCCTCATGGAGTAAGTATGGTATAGTTTGTGGTAGAGGGATTAGTAGGGAGTCTATTGTCTGTTTGGGGCCAAGGAGCCTGCCCTCATGGAGTAAGTATGGTATAGTTTGTGGTAGAGGGATTAGTAGGGAGTCTATTGTCTGTTTGGGGCCAAGGAGCCTGCCCTCATGGAGTAAGTATGGTATAGTTTGTGGTAGAGGAATAAGTAGGGAGTCTATTGTCTGTTTGGGGCCAAGGAGCCTGCCCTCATGGAGTAAGTATGGTATAGTTTGTGGTAGAGGAATAAGTAGGGAGTCTATTGTCTGTTTGGGGCCAAGGAGCCTGCCCTCATGGAGTAAGTATGGTATAGTTTGTGGTAGAGGGATTAGTAGGGAGTCTATTGTCTGTTTGGGGCCAAGGAGCCTGCCCTCATGGAGTAAGTATGGTATAGTTTGTGGTAGAGGAATAAGTAGGGAGTCTATTGTCTGTTTGGGGCCAAGGAGCCTGCCCTCATGGAGTAAGTATGGTATAGTTTGTGGTAGAGGAATAAGTAGGGAGTCTATTGTCTGTTTGGGGCCAGAAGGGTGTTAACTATGTGTTAAATGCCCTTCTGGCTCTAAGCTGGTGATATGTTGTTCTACGTCAATTCATGTTATGTCAATAGAGTGGTGAAGTATGACGTCATCATAAATCTACTTTTAGAATTTCTCAATTTTTTCTTCATTTTCCGAAAGAGAATCAACAATAATGTCCAAATGTCGAAAACCAATTGAATATGTTAAGTATTGGCTGAGATATGACCATCTGAATGAATATATGTCCTGTAGGAGTTATATGCTCTGGCTCCTAATGGTTAGGAGCCAGAGCATATAACACTGAGTTCCTATGGGGAATCTTTTTATTCAGATGGTCATATCTCAGCCAATACTTAACCCTTACTGTACTGGGCTATTTCGAGCACTCTCTGACTGGGGGGGGGGGGGGGGGGGGGGGCCTGGGAGGCCCCCCCCCATGATCTCGGCCGTTGATTGTCCGATGAACGCGAAAATTTGCATGTTTGTAGATATTTACATAAGGAACAAGATGGTATAATTAGTTTTTTTCTAATATGCAAATTTTTGTCGTTATAGCCTAATTAATTATGCAAAATGCTAATTTTATGCATTTTACAGAAAACTCTACATATTTGTCCGTAGACTTGTGAAGAATCTCAAAAATGTATTGAATAAATGTTTCCCTCATCTCAAATTCATGAGGTTTCATTATTTTTTTGATATTTGAAAAAGCATAGGTTAATTTGCATAAATTATGAATACGCATTCATGAATATCAAATCTGGAAATATATATAGGGAACTAGAATCATTACAAAAATTGTCAGACTCCACTTTTTGAATGTTGAAACTCATTATTTATATGAAACTTCTTTTCTAACACAAAATAGTTATTTGATGTAATTAATAATGATAATTTATGCAAATTTGATGCAATTTTCAACTATTTATTTTCTTATGTATTTTATTGTTTTTTATTTTTTATTATATCTATTGTTTTATTTCTAATGTATTCTTTTGTTCTGAAATACATCAAGTTACTTTGAGAAAAATTTTAAAGCAATTTGATATCAATTCATATCTTTCAATTTTTTCTTGTACATGACTATATGCAATTATAGCACTTTTTTGATGACATGTGCATACTAATTGTTATGTAACACCTTACAGGTATATCCGATTTCGACGAAAATGGTATCAAAATGTGCGTAAGACTTGAGGGAAAAAAGTCATGAAACGACAATTCAAAATTCCGAGCGGTTGCGGCGCAATCTCCGAAAATGTCGAGGGGGGGGGGCCTCCCAGGCCCCCCCCCCCCCCCCCAGTACATTAAGCGTTAACATATTCAATTGGTTTTCAACATTTGACATTATTTTTTATGCTCTTTCGGAAAATGAAGAAAAAATTGAGAAATTCTAAAAGTAGATTTTTATGACGTCACAGCTTCGGTACTATATATCACTGACTCTTTAAAATTTCTTTGTGTCTTTAATTTCACCATGCATTTAATATTTCTGCTTCATGTGAGATATAATTATTAGACAATCAGTATTCAGTATCCACCTGTCATATATATGGTATTACAAATAATACTAATAGTGATAATATTGACACTTTGCTTAAGAGCATTACATGGCATTTATGTTTCTTTTCATTATTGGCAATAACGTGAAAATAAAAATGTTTAAAACAAAATTAGAGAAAAATATCTCAGGTTATAAGAATGTTAAATTGGTGATCTGCAAATAGCCCTTGTATCAGTCTCATGTGAAAGTGAGGAAGAGAATGTGAGATCGGTAACAACCCAGCAAATGGTAATATGTAAACTCTTGCACGCGGAGCAACGTGATTGAAATGTGACTTACCTGGTATGTATTTCTTTCTTGCCTTTCTGCAGATATGTGTTCTTCCCTCTTGATCTGTACAACGACAGTGCACAATATGCTCTGACTATCTTCAAGAAACAGTATCTCTATGACGAGATAGAGGCTGAGGTGAGATACAGTCTCTCTTCTCACATGTATGCTGTAGTAGTACAACACATAATTTGCATTCATGCTGAAATGTGTGTGTGTGTGTGTGGGGGGGGGGGGGGGTGGTGGCTATACAAATTTTAATACTATCTTTATTTTGATGAACATTCAACATGCCACAAAGATTTGTTCTTTGGCAAGACATTGATCTACATTTGCCACACTCAACCCAGGTGATGTAATTGGGTACCTGGCAGGAATTAATTCCTTTGAATGCTAGGGGATCGTAATGGCAGCACAGCTAAAGCTGGGGTAATAATCTCCAAGTTTGGAAGCGCCTAGTGATTGTAATAAGCGCTATATAAAAACTGAGTATTATTATTATTATTATTATTATTATTTCCTGATGCCCATTCAAATTGGAATTAAATGATGCTCATTTTCATGTCAACAGATGAGTTGACTCATTGACAAAGGTGCCTTATATATTTCAGGCTAGGGTCAGTTGAAAATAAGTGTTTTAGCCAACAACTCGACATGTTAGTTACATATTTACTAATATCTCCAAACTATCATGAGTGGCCTTGCAGTGATCTCTTCAAGATTAGAAAGGGATTATGAGATTCAATGTCAAGAAGGATTGATAGTTTGTCTACAAGATGTTGGTATGTTTGTTTTGCAGGTGAATCTGTGCTTCGATCAGCTGGTGTACAAGCTTGCTGAGATGATCTTTGCATACTACAAGGAGCTGGCTGGAAGGTAATAACACAGATCCCAACACTCCCTGATTGGAGGCTCCCTAAATTATTTTATTTTACTTGATATGTCACTTCACTCAAATTTTAATGCCTCCCTGAGTTTTTGAAAGATTATTCCTATAATGCTGTATGCAATTGATAGAAACATCCCTGATTTCTGAATGAATCCTCCCTGAAAGCTGAATGTAAAGGTTGGCATATCTGTAGAAACATCTTAATTTTTAACAAGAATAATTATTATGATATGATTTATACAGTATTCCACTTGCTATAGTAGTCTTTTTAATCCTATGAAAGTTAGTCCGCTCCGTATCACTCGATGTTGATATTACTTGATAGTATAGATAATTTGATGTCAGATTAGAATGTGCTATAAAGAAATAGTCAATTTCATTTTATCTTGAGCAATTATCTAAGTTTGATCTCTGATATGAGTATATGTGTGTCTTTTTTCCTATCAGCATGCTACTAGACAGGAGGTTCCGAAAGGAATGCAAGAAGTATGGCATTGAAATCCCATGCCAAAAGGCCAACAAGTACGACAGCATCCTCAGGCAAAAACATGTACAGGTAGGTCCCTATATTGATGACTCAACATTTTGTTAACCTTAACCAGTCATAAGAATGATCTAGATTTCTCCTTGTTGCAGTTCAGTATTAAAAATGGAATGAATAGGATGTTAAATTAGAAAAGTGTATTTCACATGCTTTTTCCTCAGGAATGATGCAAACCCTTTCCATATAATGAAGTAAAGAGGATTTGCTTCATCTGTGCAAAAATTAATTATATGATAAATGCAGTTTTGTTCCGATTCATCCTTTGGGCTGTGCCTGAGTACTATTTTGAAGTCATTGGTTTATTGCTTTGTATGAATGATGTGTTGTACTGTGATTATCATTTGTCTTCTAGATCCTGGGTAGGTCAGTGGATATGAGCAGATTGCTGTCCCAGAGAATTATCCAGTCAATCCTTAAGAGTCTCAAATTGGCCATCTCTAGATTCGAAGGTCATGGCATCAATGAAGGTCTTATTGTAAGTTCAACTCTTTTTATGCCTCCGCAACGAGGTAGTCAGAGGCATTATGTTTTTCGTACGTAGGCCCCGTTCACGTAATCGCGTTATCTCAAGAACCCAATTGATGGATTCCCGCCATATTTGGGTCATGTTTATATCTTGCAGAGTCAATGAACTGATTAGATTTTGGAGCCACAAGGTCAAAGGTCACAGGGCTCATTATGTATGCAAAAATAGCTCGTGATCACATTATCATTAGAACCGATGAACAGATTACCACCAAACTTGGGTCATGTATGTCTCTTGGAGAGCTAATGAACTGATTAGATTGTAGGGACAAAGATCAAAGGGTCATACTGGTACATATATATGAAAGCAAAACTAGTCATCATTATATCCTGGGAACCTGTTAATGGAATAATAATCAAACTTGAATTAAAAAAATTACTTCTGTTTTGGTTTGTAAAATCGCTCTATGGCGGAGGCATCATTTTCAACTGCGCGTAGTCAAAGATCTACCTAGTTTCTTTTATCTTCTGTTATTTAAAGTAAAGTATATTGATTTGAATGTACACTTGCATTGCTCATTGTTCACTTTGTATTTTTATTGGAAGGAAATAATTCAGAATGTATATATTGTACTGTCATTGTGTGCGAACCAATAAAAAATGAAATGTTAATTTCTGTTACTGAATCGGCACCAAGTTGTGCCTATTTTCTGACCAAATCTAGTTGTCTTATTGAACAGTTTTATAACATTATGTCAATGGAGCTTGAACTAGAAAATAAATTGCCTCATCCCAATCAACCAGTTTGCCCATATAATGCAGACCTATTACTTGGTTTAGCTTTCATTTAGCACCGTATAGGAATATTCCCAGCTGTCTGTCAGTTACCTCTCAATTGCCTCTTTCCAATATAGGAACTAGACTGCCTAACCCAAATCACTGAATGATGATGATGTTGGTGATGAAGTTTGTGGTCTTGGTTTTTATTGTGTAGATACACTGTCAGATACATTGTCTAATTTGTTATCTTCTATTGTAACGCCTGCCTGGAATGCTCCCCAGGGAGTGGAGATTGTGCACACAGTGTGTGCGGGCAAGCACTGAATCCAGTGACCGGGTAATAGTATATTTGTAAAGCGCTTAGAGACATTGTATTAAGCGCTATATAAAAGCTAAATATTATTATTATTATTTATTATTATTGTAGGAACTGGACTGCCTCTTCCAAATCAACCAGTTAGCCCATATGATGATGGGCAAGTACCTGACCTTACCGGCCTTCCAATCACTGGTAGATGAAGCTGACAGTAACGTAGGAGGACCATGTGGGACCATAGCTCTCACTCTAGCCCTGGACCTAAGCAGTGAGATCCTACCCAAGTACTGCTTCAATGGAACAACTCAAAGGTACACCTTAGATCTCAAACATATAATATTCCTTTCTCTTTGTTCTTTTTGTTAGTACACCTTTAGTTTAGTGTTATCCATGACCAAAGCATTTCCTTCTCTGCTTATCTTTGAGAATTCACAAAGACTTTGATAAAGAAAGTAAAAGATGCTGGTTGATGCTGATTGTACCCTGGCCTGAAAGCTAGATGGAAGCTGATTGATCAGTGTCTCTACTTGTTGTCTTTGTTCAGGTTTGTTCGTACCAAGCTCATGTTTGTGGAAGAGACAAGCAAGGACAAACCAGCCAATGCACAGCCTGCCTATTACTTTGGAAACAAGGTACATGTATACTCCAGTTCTAAAACGCATGTGTTTGTGCTTACAGTGCTTTATAGTCAATATTCTACACTAAGAATTGAGTTTCTTATGTGAATGTTGCTTACTATGTTTGGGATAATAGAGCACTTTCGCAAACACGACGGAAGCAAAGACGGCGGGAGAATTACGGGGATACAGCTCTTCCGTCGTGTTTAGGGAACCGCGTACGATCGTGAAAATCGACAGGACAGAAAAAATTCTGGTTCACGGATGTGCAGATTGTTTTTTTCGCTCTCGTTACCGTCATGTTTGCGAAAGTGCGCTAATATTGGCTGATAATTATCTTTCTCAAAAGAAGTAGAAACATGGAATGTAAAGTTTATACTGATAGATATATTCTTTGCCACATTCAAAAGTGAAAAAATATTAAAATCTAAAACCTTTGGCTCAAATTTTATTGCTTGCAAAGTTAATAGCACAAAATGTGTTAAAAGAACAAATGACTATGATGATTTTGGGATAATCATAATCGTGATATTCTTATTTACCAAAGGAAGCCCCTTGCGCATTAGTACTATGCTTCGTGAGGGCCCTATAATTATTAATACTCCGGCAATGGCAGGTACCCACTCAATACACCTCACCTGGGTCAAGAGGAACAAACAATCAGTAAAACACCTTGTCAAGGCTTGAACCCATGACCTCTTGTATGAGAGTCAAGAGCCTTCACCTGTACACAACCGTGCCCCACTCCCTGTTATAGGTTATACAGGATGCGATGTGATTATAAGACTCTATTTAATCCTCTTCTCATGACTCGACTCTTCTCTTCTCTTCTCTTCTCTTCTCTTCTCTTCTCTTCTCGTGACTCTTCTCTTCTCTTCTCTTCTCTTCTCTTCTCTTCTCTTCTCTTCTCGTGACTCTTCTCTTCTCTTCTCTTCTCTACCAGACCTTGAATGCAGTGTATCAGCACATAGCTGGTCTCTACCAGGGTTTCATGGGAATGGAACACATCCGCATCATGGTTCGTCTCCTTGGTTACCAACAGCTTCATGTTGTGGTCGAAGAACTGCTCAAGATCGTTAAAGGAACTGTAAGCTACGGCCCCTCCTGCCATGATTCCATTTCAAAACTTTTGTATATTCAGTTTTTAATAAGTCTTGGACACAAGTTTTGTTTGAAAATATTCTTGACATCTAGTAGCATATGATGGACATTCCAGAAGTTTTTATATATTATTTTTTTTTGGTAATTTCATTATGTAATTACTATACATCTAATAAACTGACCGGCCAGTGTTTGTTATACCAGGGTGAAGGAGGTGCTCACAGCTGACTGTAGAATACAGATGCATTCAGGATGTGAAGACAGTTTAGAACCTTGTTATTGAATCATGTCTCTTAACCCTTTGTATGAATGGCTCGGATGTTTATTTGGTGTATGGGTGGGCACAATGAAAACATGAATGGCTCTAACTGTTGATCTCTGAAACACATTGCTTAATTCAAACAATGTGGTGGTAACTCTGATAAGAAATTTAAAAAAAATAACAGCATGTTGATACATGTACATTATTGTGAGGAAACGGTCTAAGAAAACCAGTGCTTATCACTGCTACCAAAATACTGTATGTTTAAAGTCACAAGTGTCCAAGTTTCTGAGTTAATGCTTTTCTGGCTCTGCATTAAGCATATGAAAATAAGTGAATTCTTGAGTAAACCGATTACTTGTGTTCTTTGTCCTTGTTGCATAGATCCAAACCTTGTGTGTACCTTACGTCAAAGTGCTCCTTCAGGAAGCTATGCCTGCCAAGTGTAAGATGCCCAAGACAGAATATGGAACTCAAGGTAGGAATTAATTTCTTTTGATCTTTCTCATCATCATCATGATCATCTTGATCATCATCATCATCCTCATCATCATCATCTTGATCATCATCATCATCATCTTCATCATTCTCACCACGTCATCATCATCGTCGTCGTCATAATCATCATCATCATCATCATCATCATCCTTATCTTCATCATCATTCTCATCATCATCTTCATCATCATCTTGATCACAATCTCCATTACATGGTCTTGAAGATTTGATCATTATCATCACAATCACCACCACCATCATCTTCAGTATCATTGTCATCATCATCGTCATCATCATCATCATCATCATGATGATTGTTTTGGTACTTGTCATTGCCTTTATCATCATCCTCATTATTGTCCTCCTCCGTCTCCTCCTCATGTTTATAATTAACAGTCATTACTATCACATTCATGATCATGATTACCGGTATGATCAGCACCTTTTTTCACTAAATATTGAGCTATGTTGGCTCCTATGATGACATAGATTCTTTGTTCTGAAACAGGGAATGTTTCTTATGATTATGATTACTTCTTCTCTCTCATTCCAGGTCTAGTGGTTTACTACTACACCCACGTCCAGGATGTGGTCCAGTACTCGGACCTCAAGACCCAGACCCTGGTTGCTTTCCAGTCTGTTGGCAATGCTGTCATCATCTTTCATCTACTAGACCAGGTCCTGAGCATGGAGGAGGCTTGGAACTTGTTCCAGGCCTCGCCTTTCATGAACATCCTACCCAAGCCTTACTGTGCAAGTACGTATGGAAAACTCCTCAAGCCACTACATTTACATTGTGTCTGCTATAAAAAGCTGATTGCATTAAATCTATTCTTTGGGTACCTTGCAGATGGACACAAACACAAATTTTGGTCATATTCTAAAGTTTTAGGTCTAACCTTTCATGAACATCCTACCCAAGTCCTACTTTGCAAGTATGTATGGAATTCCTCACATATTCCATAAATATGTGGATATAGTTCTAAACTTTAGGCCAGATTTTGATACCACCTGTATGTGTGTAGTCCCATATACCCATGTATGTGTATCTTTGCTTTTCACTGCATCTGATTTTCAGCAAGGTAGGGTCGATTAGTTATCATTTTGGTGATTTCAAAACCTCACAATACACAACAACACTTACACATATTTATAAAAGCATGATGAAGTAACAACCTCAATAGCTTTTAGACATTTTGTTTTTCACAATATTAATTGCATGAATATAGATCAGTTGTGTGGAATGATGCATGATGTATATTATTGACTATGTTTTGCCTTGCAGAGGGAGAGAAGCTAGAGACAAAGATCAAGCAAATGGAGCAGAATTATGCACACCTTCATCTATGTCCTCTCATGCAGAAACTTGGCACAAAAGAGGTATACACCGTCTAAACTATGCACCAGAAGCAAGCTGAAGGATTCACTTCGGCTCAAACTGTATATCTTAAGTACTATGGGCCAAGCCCTCTTATTTAGGTGTTTAAACAAAATTATAGATGAAATAAAAACATACTGTACAGACATAGAAGAACTCTGTATGTATTTTTTTCCCCAATCCACGTCCTTATGGTAATTTTTAGTTCTACTCAATAATACCCTGGTCATATTACCTGATGGACTAATATTCATGGTAATGTGATGTTTGTTCAGATTGTTGTCAGTATCATATGGGTCCTGTTTGACGCATATTGTGCAAATTAATCTTTAGAAACATAGTGAACTGCCAATTGCATACTTCACTGCTATTCTTATTTTGAGGTTTCATCTCGTTATAGCTGACACCTGCTGCATCGCTACACACTGTTCTTATGATGTAGATTTTAATGTCTTTGTATAGGCATTTTGGTTTATAGATAATTTACATATTGCTTTGTAGTTTGACCATTGGGGAAAATAATAAGAAGATTTGCATAGTGAGTTGTCTCCCTTGTTTAGAATGTGTCTATTATCCACATGTATACCAGAAAAATGTACCCTAATATTAATGGTCTTTAACTCTTTTCCCTTCCCTCCCTTCATCTCATTCACACCAGCAACTGCGCAATGCCCAAGAGAATGACCTTCTACTGAGAGAGCGAGGTGCCTGCGGCAACATCATCTTGAAGGAGATCTTGAACCGCATCAGGTCTTTCCTTGACGACCCAGTATGGCGGGGAGAGACTCCGCCGGAGAATGGAGTGATGCACGTTGATGAGAGCAACCTGGAGTTCCATCGGCTCTGGAGTGCTATCATGATCGTCATCTGTATGCCCCTCAACCCAAACAACACCAGTGTAGAGTGAGTACATGGATTTGGAGTTTTAATCTGTTTGGTATTTTGCGAAATAATTAGGGAGCAGATTAAAGTCCAAAGCGACTTTTTCAATTTGAATCGTACCAACTTAATCTTATCCATTCTCATTCAAGTCTAATCTGATATAATCTAACATAATATAATTAAATTTATCCTGTTTAGTCATATCTATTCTAAATTACTTTAATTCCAGTTTATTGAAATGTAATCTAAAATAAAATGTCATTTTAGAATACAGAATTCTTTGTGCTTTTTTCTGTTTTGTTGTGTTCTGAATTGTTTTTTGTTTTTCTATGAGTGCGGGGATGTGAGTTGAAGAAAAAAAACTGGGCTAGAGAGTAAATTCTAAAACGGGCATGAATACTACGTGTCTGTATTAAAGCACAAGGTTTTCCTTTATAGATGGTGATGCAGTAATTGCTGCTGTGACACATGTTTCATCAAATATATAGAGATAGGGTTAGGATAGTCATTTCTTAGGGTAGGTCCGAGTTTTTGATTCAGATTAAATATGGTGTTTACTCTAGGAATGTTGTTATTTGGATAGTGTTAGGAATTGACTGTGCAGCAATAGACACCAGAGCATCTATTGTAGCACCTTGTAGATTCTCATGATATTCTTGATATATTCAATTAGTTTGATTTACTATACAGGGAACATTCATTTCCCTTCCTTTGATAGTTCATCATTCTTGATATTTGAAAGCCACATGACATCTTATGTTACTCCAAGAGAAAGACTAAGTTCCCTTCATTCATTCTCCTGACTTTGTATTTTCTCCGTCCTGCAGGGAAGGGTATGGTGATGGTCTGAACTGGGCAGGATGTACCATCATGACCCTCCTCAATCAAGCAAGGAAGTATGAACTCCTAGACTTTGCCTCTCATATCCAGAGGGTCAATGAGGTGGATGGCAAGCTAGCAGACATCAATGGCATCGTGAGTCAACTTAATACCTCACTCAAGTCTTAACTCTATGCCCCAGTCAATGGAGGTCTCTTTTGCCATATAGGTTCCTTTGAAAGTTAATTTTTAGCAAAAGCAAGAAACGAAGCTCTGATTGTAGGTAGTTATGTTGTTTATGAAGCGTTGGGAAGAGAAGGGGGGGGGGGGAATATGTAAGGTATTTCCATAAAAAAAAACTTTGCCAAGATTACAGATCTACCCATTTATACTTCATCATTTGCAACTAGTTTTGATTGCACAAAGATAATATGTAGGAGATCCTGTGAAAACTGAAGGTGAAAACTGCCTGCATTGGGCCTATACATGATTGGTATATTTTGTTCAATATTTGCAACATAAACATCAGCTCAGGAGCTGTTGTCTATTTGTTCTTATTTGATGAACCAATTTCATTTTTTTCATGGAATCTTGCATGGTTTATCGTACCTTCTTTCTAAATACAAAAACTCTCTGCCATTTCTTTTTCAGTCTGTGAAGAGGTATGTGGACCGTATCAGCAAATACCAGATCCTCAATCAGCAAATCTTTGAGGTCCTCAACAAGACTCTGGTCATGGGTGACTCACAGGCCCCCACATGCGCACCAGAGGTCAACTTCTACCAACCTCCTATGCACCAGTCACAGGTCAAGAACATGTAAAGATTGGTCTTCAGACAGAACAATTGGTTCAGAGAGCTCAGCATAGGGTGTACTAAGGACCTATTCACCCTCTACTGAAACAATCACAGATGGATAGTATTCAGAGGGCACAACTAACTCACTCTACCTACCCCTCCCTTTCTACAAGTTACAGATCCAAACTATGTAAAGAATGGCCTCCAGAGAGAACACTTGATTCAAGAAAGCTCTGATCAGGTGTAAACTAGATTCATTTGTGATCTTCAAACCCTCTCTTCACCACTCAATGGTCCAAAAGATGCAAGATTGTCTACAGAAAAAGTAGCTGATTGAACAAATATCACGTGGTGTACCCTCTACCAACACATGCTCTACATGTGGTGTACCCTCTACCAACACATGCTCTACATGTGGTGTACCCTCTCCCAACACATGCTCTACATGTGGTGTACCCTCTCCTAACACATGCTCTACATGTGGTGTACCCTCTCCCAACACATGCTCTACATGTGGTGTACCCTCTCCCAACACATGCTCTACCTGCAGTGAGAGGCCGTCAGTCTGTACTTAGTCATGTTAATCCAGAATGATGACAAACAATGTATCTCTCTTAGCCGACATAGAACAGTTTCAACTCAATCTTTTAAATTGATTGAGGTATTTCATCTATTGCGCTTGGGGCATAAATCACACCCATTTATTTTAAGCATTTCTGGTACATAAAATGAATGACGGCTACATTATATGATATGATATTCTTGTACTTAGTACAGTATATAAACATATATTTTGAATCTATTTTCATATTTACTTATATCAAAGGAACTATCATATTCTCAACTGAGCTTAGTATACTCTTAACTGATTGGTTCTCATGGTGAGCCTTGGGGAAGAGAGAATCCAGGAGTCAACTGGTTAAATGCATTATAGTTTCTTCCTTACTGTGAAATAGGTGCATAACATTGGAAATTCTGTCATGAAACACTCACAGAGAACTGAGTTTTGGGTCCCGTAACACAAAAGAATAAGCTAGCGCTTTTTAAATTTGAATCACTTTGTACAATCAATTGATCATACCATCAATAGAAGTACGTGTATGATCAATTGCAGAGCTTTGTCTAAGAGGGCCTGTAAATAGAAATATATATCTTTTTAATGTATGGTAACCAAACTATTTTTTTTATTGAAGCCTCAATGGGATCAGTCTTCCATTTTTGTTGCAGCTTTCAAAGTGCATTCAAATGCTGTCTTCAACAAAGTGTCTTGTGTCAAAAATCAAAATATTTCATTTTATTGTGAATCTGTTGTTCCATTCTGCTGTGATATACTAGTGACTTTACATTTTTGTACATTGTTTTCAATGTTTTACAGTGTCAATGCAACAAAGCATTCAGTATGGTCCTGTGGACTTTGCATTTGTCTGTTTTGTGGGAAAGACCGTGTTATATTTATTCCAGCCTCAGCAGGTAAGTGTAACAACCATGATAGAAGAATATTGAAGCCTAATTTAATAGTGATAGAATGTCCTTCAAAACTAGCCAATCCTTGAAGCCTTAATAGTTATGATTATCAAATTATGCAAAAAGGAAAAGTGCACTTAAGAAGGATACTTATACTAGCCAAATTATTGTCAGAATTATAGATATCTATGAGATAGATTTGTAAAGAGTAGTTTTTACGATGGAGTTAGATATGCACATGTATTGAAATTAGCCATGACCAATGTATATGTTAGTACATTTTAAGAAATTGGAGATGGCTGTGGAAATATGAAGGAAAGAAAATGACTACCATATGAAATTCATTGATGATATGGCCAGTCTTTGATATTCTTATTCTTTGTAAAAATGATAGGTTTTATCACAAAGATGTACATGTGTAGGTAGAAATATTCAGAAATCATTGTTACCCTATGAATTCAGCAAGTGATTTTTCAAATGTCAGTCTATTAGAGGGAATCAGGATGGGACTACTCGTTTGTGCCGGCCGGCATAGAAATGAAATATGATGATAAACCGTGATTTGTTTTAAACACATTAATAAAGGCTTTATGTTGCTCCAAGGCATGGCTTTATATTGCTTGCAAAAATGAAGTGGCATGAAGTGATGCGTCAGGAATACAATATGTGTAATTGTTTTATATTTTTGAGGTAAAACCATATTAGAACATGAAGCTAGTAATTATCTCTTTTACATTGGTTATATGTAGTATTACCAAGAAGAGTTAATGAGACACACAATGTATTTACAGATGACACCAATTATTATGCCTTTTACGTTCCAGGTTGGTCTTTGTCGTGCCTCTGCAGTTCACGAAGCAATCTTAGTCAGTTTTGATCTGCACACTTAATAATTTTGGCAGGACAGTTTATTGCAGTAGCATATTACCCGGTACATCTTTTTAAAATAATTTGTTAAAAGTTTTGCACAGAAATATCTTATGAGCATTGGTGATTCAGCATTTACTCCAGAGACATTTGCTTAATTTTGTGTGAAGATTTAATGTAGGGTTAGGATAACATTGTATGTTAGGATAATGATAGGCTTAGGTTTGGTGCTAGGGTCAGAGTTGAAGTTCAGAATTTGGTTAGTGTCAGAAATGGAACATGGAAATAGACTCCCACAGGAGCATGTGGTTTACTAACCCAAAGCATCTGTTCATTACTGATTTGATTCAACTACATAACATTAATTTGATGTAAAATATAATTGTACTGACGTGGTGACGTGGGCAGGTACCCATAATTGTTGAAAGGGAGATTCTAATTCTGCTAGAGCTTCTCTAGAATAATAAATCAATTGCAATATGAACTGAATATTAGCTTTCCTCTCATGAAGGTCTTGGGTGGTGGACTTTCAAATCATGTTAACAAAAATTTGTTCCAGCGTTGCCCATTCATAGAAGACATATTTCATTTCTCAACATTATATTTATGCCTGTGAGGGGAAAAGGAAACTTAACCCGGCCTTTGACCTGCAAGCATCTTCTCGCAATGTTACTGATCAGAATGTGGAGGTGTAGTACTACTATGCATAGCTTTACATGCATAGCTTTACATGCATAGCTTGCGACTTGCTCTCCTTCATAGAGGACCTCTATTTTAACATCCTATCCAAGGGACAGGGTGTTTTCCACTGTAACATCATGTTCATATAAGGACAGTAAAGAGGAATGTAAACAGAAAAGGATTGTAGATCTGTGCTTAATGCTGGCTATGAAGAGTTAAATAGGTGCAGGGTAAATATCCTGGACATATTTTCATATTGTTTTTAGGTTATAATGACAGAATTAACAACATATTTGTATATTTGTTTACATTACGTACTGGTGGCTTTTATAAAAATAAATATAATAGACATTTTTTTTATGTGTTGTTCCTGTATAATTATTTCAAAGATTATATTAGCGGAAAAGTAGTTCGAAATTGGTTTGGAAAAAAGGCCTATTGTTTGGAATATAAATGTGCATTAATTGTGATATAATTTGCAGTACTATAATGATTGAATGATTTGAGAATGATTTTTTTTAAATACCTAGGCTGTGTTGCTATTATCAACGTATATTTATCAACAAATTCCAATCATTGATTGTCTTCCAAAAGATATAATTTTTGAGTTTCACACAGTGCTGTTTTATTTATGAAAAATTGGAAATATGGGATTTATTTTTTACCAAATAACTATTTGTATATATGAGGTATGGTATATTCTTCCGTGGCCTGAGGGAAATTGACAGACTTTAAATTCCCAAAATTCTGTTTGCCAACGTTAATTTACCATTACAGTTACTTAGAAATTACCTTGTCATACAAAGTAGACAGAACAAAAAAAAGATTTTGTAAAATGCCTAAAAGTGCTATAAACATAATATATTTTGTCCCTGCATATCTACTTAGATTTGTAAAAGAAGTGTGATTATACTCTTATTATTGAGTAGTGATTATAGTAGATGACATTAATAGATCTTTGTATGACAGCATTGTTTTGAGATGAGGGGGGGCGTTTCACAAAACTTGTCATCAGTGACAAATGACAGTTTTTGTTATAAGCTACTGAAATCCTTGCTTCTGAATGGCTATCTGCAGATTTGTCACTGATTTTTGTCATTTGTCATTGAAAAAAAGGCTTTTTGAAACGGATCCTAGATCAATTACCATAATAAGATGATTTGACCATGAATTTAATTTATTATCCTCTTCACTATCTTCTTCATTATGTATCAGCATGGATTTTTAATCCTGTTCCCAACTTATGAAAGGGATATTTTTGAGCCTCCTTTTATCAATATATATCATCTGGTTGATTCCTTGTATTGAGACAGTAGCCAGAAGAAGACACAAAAGAAAATTTGATTGCTCTTTGTCTCATGTTTCGTCTGTTAAGTGCCAGAAGGATTTTAAGTCGTCATTTTACTTAGTTTTTGCCCTTCTGGCTCTCTACTCTGTAATCATCTCTGAAGCAAAACGGACGTTAATCTGCTCTATAATCATATTCTTTTAAAAGTGTCTTTCTTTAAGTGGGACTGCACTACTTGTAGCTACTTGCACCCTCTATATAGCAAACAATGCCTAAGCAGTGATCGTTGGTCCCCAATGATCCCCTTTTTTTTATGTTAATTGAGAGCTGATTTGATGAGATAACCACCTGTCAGTGACCATGCAAGGAGGACTCAGGGAAAAAATTAATAACAAAATTTTGGGGGCTACTTTTCAAGCTTGCTTGCATGAAAATAACACTCTTTAATTTGTTTTGCAGTGAACTCTTTGCAAATTTTGGGGGCTCCTTTTTTTTTTTTACTTATGGGGGCTCTTTTGGGCATTTCGGGGGCTAAATCGCCCTGAGCCCCTATGTATTTTTTTCCCTGAAGGAGGTCTTATCCCTCCTGGCCAAACTAGTGCAGATATGGGCTTTAAAAAGAAAATAAAAAGATTCAAAAATATAATGGTAGCATTTCCATATACAATCCAATATCATTGAGTATTTGCACAACTTATAGATGGGGAATTACAACAGAAAGAAAAATCTGTACAAGGTTGGTCTATACAACTTGAATATATTATTATTACTTCATCATTTATATAGAATAATCAAGAATTATTTGTATTGAAAGGTTCTAGTTTTAGACTAATTAGTATGTATATTGGTAAATCGATGTAAATAGAATATGGTCCTGTATATCCATCATATTATCTTATGTGATAGCTTAAGTTGAAGATATGTAACATTTTGTTAATTTCATATTTTGTATTTACTGATATTATAGAAAAATAGTGAAAATTCACTTGCCTTCTTGAAAAATGAAATGTTTCTGTTCACTGTATTAATTGTAGTGAAGAATGAATTACTTGCGCAGTATATCTTTTGTATAAAGATGCCATCTTTAAGGTATGTTATATATTCTGTGAAATAAATACTGGAGATGCAGTATTACTCTGAAACATAAATTGGATCTGGCGTTTCATTTCAAATGCTATTTTTCCCTTCATTTTACATTGATGAATATTCGATGTTATCATATCATGATAGTGAATTCACAGAATGGGCAGTAATATTTAGTTTTAAAAAATACAAGTATTAATAGAAGTAGATAATGACGAGTAAAAAATGACAACTGACTGCAGTAGTAGTCATGCATAAAGATATGTTCACTTGCAATTTCTTTCAAATAAATTTGTTCAAAGTTATATGCTGAGTTATATGCTCAGAGGTGGTGCCCAACTCCTCCACTTTTCAAGTACCCCTTTTTACATAGGAAAGTGCCCCTTTTAATTTGACAAGTGCCCCTATTAATTTGTAAAAGTACCTCTTTCCCTTTTATTTTGACACATGCCCCTTTTTCTTTGACAAGTTCCCATTTTCCTTTGAAATAAGTGTCTATTTTCCATTCTCATAAGTGCCCTTTTTAATCTTTGGTAAGTGCCCCTTTTCACTTTTGATAAGTGCCACCTTCGCTTCTGACAATTGCATTATTCAAATCTGAGAGGCGCCCCTTTTCCTTTGTAGGAAGTGCCCTTCCCCTTTTTAAATTGGATGTTTTACATGTGCCCCTTTTCCTAATGATAAGTGCCCCTATTTAAAAAAGGGACCCTTCCCCTTCTCATAAATGACGCATTTCATCTTTTCAGGTACGAGAGGCTACTCCTTTTCACTTCAGATAAGTGCCCCCTCCACCTCCGATAATTGCCCGTTTATATCTGATGAATGTCTTTTTTTTTTACCTCTAATAACTGCCCCTTTTCTGTTTAATTCATGCTCTTTTTCCTCCTTATAAGTGCCTCTTCCCCTTCTCATTATTACCCCCTTTTCATCACTGATAAGTTTTATTTCAAAATGTGCCTCTTTTCCTTTTTAATAAGAGCCACTCCCCCCCCCCCCCCTTCTCATAAAAGCCCCATTTCACCTCTGATAAATGCCCCTATTAAAATCTGATTGGTGCCCCTTTTCACCTCTGATGATTTCCCTTTTAACAATGATATGTGGTGCCCTTTTCCTTTCTAATAACGGACCTATCCATCCCCTTTTCATAAATGCCCCCTTTCACCTCTTAAAATTTAAAATTAAAAGTTGATCGGTGCCCCTTTTCCGTTCACAAATTCCCATTTTCACAAGTGCCTTTTTCATCTCTAGCGAGTGCCTCTTTTTATAGGTGTAAGAACTGCCCAATTATCACCTCTGATAATTGCCCTGTCTACTTTAACTCTGCTCCTTTTCTTTCCTAATAAGTGTTTATCCCTTTCAATAAGTGTTCCCTAATGTGCCCCTAATTTCAAGCAACTAAGAGCGATTTCCCCCAAAGCTCGCTCGCTCGCATTTATAGATGAGATTATTGTTACTTATCAAATGTTATTTCAGTCTTCCCTTATGAGAATGTGCTTACACCTCATCAGGATTGGGTTTTTCCCCTCTTCATAAGATGTCATTTTTTGTACTGCGACCTCACAAATCTTGTTCCCCTCCCCATCCCTCTCCGTACAGTAACTAGGCTTATGGTCCGGTCCAACTCCGTTTGGTAGGAAAGTTTCAGTAAATTAAGATTATTGATAAATGAAGTCCGGTTTATCAATATGATTACTAGTATTTTGAGGTATGATAATTCCTGGAAAAACGAAAATCTTTAAAACTCTGAAGATGTCATCTATTGAAACTTCCCTCTCAATGTGTCTCACTTTTCTCTGTCTTTTTCATTTGCCTTCTCTCTCTCTCTCTCTCTCTCTCTCTCTCTCTCTCTCTCTCTCTTCTCACAATCTTTCAATTGCACTCTGTTCCCTCTCCTCTCAATTTGCTCCCCTCTTGCTGAATGGCTCTCTTTTCTATTTCCGCTCCCTTCCTAACTCTATCATTGTGTTTTATTTTTATTCACAATGTCAAAATTAAAAAAAGCATTCCCAAAACTTTATAATTGTGTTGCAGCATGCACCTTTGCAATGTTAATGCAAAAAAAGGGATTTGTTCTTATTTCAGCAAATATTTCTTTTGCTCTTGGAAATAATAAGATGTGAGACCATTTGATAACATCTTTTATTTTGAATTATTCATCAATCAATCAATCATAAGGCATCAAACACAAGCTTATTTGATAACATTTCATTTTCAATTCAATCATTACACACAATCCTATTAGGCATAACAAAACTCATTTTATAACACTTATTTGCATTTCAATCATTCATTAAGCAAATCAATAGGCATAAAATTTGAGCTCATTTGTTAACATTTCATTTTCAATTCAATCATTACACACAATCTATAGGCATAAAACACGAACTCATTTGATAGCATTTTGTATCCAACTAAATCACTCTCAACTTCTAGGAAATTTTTGAAATGTCAACAGTATGCTAACTAATAGTACATAGATTAGATACTTGTTGCACACAATATTAATGGGTTTACATTACACAAAAAGTCAGAAGCGGATCTAGAGGGGGGGTTGGGGGGGTTTCAACCCCCCCCCAAAAAAAATCCGGGGACCATTTTTTTAAATCTTATCTTTTTTTTTAAACTTGTAATTTTATTTTATTCTATTTCTATGTATTTATTTCATTTATTATTATTATTATTATTATTATTATTATTATTATTATTATTATTTCTTTTTGGGGGGATGGGGGGGGGGGGGGGTTGGGCGAACAAATGTCACAGAGTCCCTTGCCCCCCCCCCATCAGCTTTTTTGAGGACACGGGCCACCGCCGAAGTGAAAAAAAAAAGAAAGAAAAAAGAACGCACGCTGGAGAGAAACCCTTTCAAGTGCAAATATTGTGAGAAGATTTTCAACTCATCTGGTAACTTAACCAAACACATGATAACTCTGGATATAACTGTGTATTTAACTGTTACTTGATTTAAAAAGACGTTATCATGCACTGCTTTGTATGGTCTCCATTGTGTTAATAGATGCCAGGAAAACATCACTTACGGGGTTCAAATAAACACCCCCAAAAAAATCGGCTCCGCATCGTCATTATTTTGGTCAACCCCCCCCCTTAGCAAAAAGCTAGATCCGCCCCTGAAAGTTATTAAACATGGAAGTCTGAAATTAGGAGGAAAGTGGACATCAAAACCATGTAAACTAACATTTGTGAAAATGACCTGGAATATAACAGATTCATATGCTTTAAGCCTGCATGTGTTTACACATCTTTCAAACAAATGTGTTTGTTTTAAAGATTGTATGAC